CAGTACCAGTGCACAGCCCAGCCAATGGAGATCCCAGCCAAAAGTATCTCGAGCGATCTGCTCGTGACTCTGCAAAACAGGCCAACTCTGTAAGGCTCAGCAGGAGTACAAAGGAAGGAGAGAATCACTGGGATGTTTATCTTAATTCAAATAATATTTTGCTCCTTCCACTTGATCTGTTAAGATTGTATTTGCCCTTAAAAATGTAGTTTAAACATCATCTCTGCCGTGAAGCCACTTCCTCACACACTGTCTCTCACAGGCCGTGTCTCTTCTACCATGTACTAGGATACTTTGGTATATGCCTCTCTTCCCCCTGTGAGAACAATGATTGTTTTATATTCATCATATAAACTCCTAGTATCCACACGTTTCATGAAGAAGAATCTGGAAGTTGTTTTCCTGCCTCCTATCCATGGACTTTAAGCACAAATTAGGGTTTTTTTTTTTTGGTTTTTTGTTTTTCAATTACTGACATGAACTGGGACTTGCATTAGCATGCCTTCTAATCCCTCCTCCAGATTGTGAGGACGGATGTTAAAGTGCAAAATAAAACAAGTAAAATCTCAACCCTGAGACACCCCATTAGGCATGTCTCTCAACTCTAGCAATCAGGCAGTAGTTACCATTCTGTGCCTATGCATTGAAATTCAGAGAGTTTCACCCTTTTTTGGCTAGTTTTCACTCTTACATAAACATTTCAAGTAAAATGCTAAGATTAAATTCTTAAGCAGAACAAATTCAATTTTTCCGCTTTCCTTCCTAAATTTGGCACTGAAGATATTCCATGCCTTCACATAGAGGGTAAGATCACCTTCTCTCCTCCTCTACATTCATGGCAACCCAGAAACATTTGTTTTCTCAGGAACACTGGAAGAAGAAATCATTCTTCTCTCTACTCTGCTCCCTTATTTCTCCCCATAGAGGGAGGAGTGACAAACACTACCCTCTTTGGGAAACACTGAATGTTAGAAGTGGCCACTCGTATGTGGCCTGCACCCTCAACTATTCTTTAACCTTGTCTTCAAAGCTGCCTGTCCACAGGCCACTTGCAGTCCTCTGTCCTCCATGTGGTTAGCCCACAAGTACAGAGGACAAGGGCCCTTCTCTTCGATGCTCCGTCATTAAGCTCAATCCAAGTGGGAAGTTGTCCAGCAGAAAAGACGCTGGTATTTCCCATCCTTCCCTCCTATAAAAGGTTCTCTATTGGCTCAGCACTGAGGAAAGATGGGTTTAATTACCTACACACATGTAATTCTCAAACGTATCAACTGAATAAATGAACGGCTAAAGAATACACCTGAACCTACTGCCTGTAAGTCAAGGATATGGAGATGTAGGTTTCAGGAATATTTATGACATCCCAAAACAAAGAACTTGGTCAGATCCAATAGCTTATGTCTACAACCCCAGCACTTTGGGAGGATGAGGCAGGAGGACTACATGGGCCCAGGAGATTGAGGCTGTGGTAAACCATGATCACCTGGGTGACAGAACAAAATGCAATCTCTAAATCAATCAATCAATCACAAAACTAGCTTATGCCTTAATATGGCATCTAGACAGCAATTTTTTATTCAGCTTCTCCATGCTTCCCACAAAGCATAAACACATTGAAAATAAAAAATTCTTAATGCTAAGATTTCAAACTGGCAAACTAAGGCTGGAACCTAGAGGGGATTTCCATCAACTACCACGTAGCTGAACTATGTGTCAAAACTTAAAGAACAAAGCTTGTTTGTAGCTTGAAATCAGACAGATTGGCCCGCCTCTTGGTTAAAAGACCTAGGGTTTGTATCAGAACATTGCAGAGCAGAAATGGCCCCCAGCTGACCAGCTCTGCACCTCTGAGGCAGATAGGGTAGCCTCAACCCCAAAACTTTTATTTCCACAATATTCTGCGATCCTCAGAAATTATAGGGCAGAGGGAGGAGAAAGATCACATGTGTGTTGAGGTGACATACAACACACTGGGAAGTGCAGCTCTGGCTGCTAGTACATTATAGGGAAGGGTACAGACAGTAAGTGGCCTAGAGATGGCTTTCTATGTTACCCTTCAGCTCATCTCCCTGGGAAAACTAGGCAAGAGCATCAGGTCCATTTATGAGGCACTGAAAACTGGGCCAGCTACCACATACATGAGGAGCCCCCAACTGAACCTTTGAGAAGGACAATATCAAACACAAACATGTGTATGATCGGGGGGAAAGCACATTGCAAACTGATTTCCAGTGTCAACTCTCGGGCCTAATTTCTATTGGATCTCTGGGAAGTATTTGACACAACAGGTCTCTCCCTCCTTAAAATATGGTCTTGACTTGGTTTCCAGGGCACCAGGGTCTTGGTTCTCTCTCCTGCTCACTTTTCTGCATCTCTGATCGCTACTGCTGGAGGGCCTCAGGATTCAGTCCTTGAACATCACCTCCACTCTAGCTACAGTCAGATTCCAGGTGATGTCTCCCCAATTCTCAGCTGAAATTCCATCTACATACTGATAACTCTATATTTACATCCCCAGCCTGGGCTTCTCCCTTGCATAGCCAGCTGCCTACTCAACGCTGCTACTGAAGTATCTGATAGATTGCTCAGCCTCACTATGCTTAAAAACCAAATCTCGGATCACCCTACCCGAATGTGCTTTACCTGTAACCATCTCCATTTCTGAAAAAGGCAATTCCATTTTTCCAGCTCCTCAGGCCAACATTTCAGATTCATTTTTGACTCCGCCCTGTCTTTTGCTTCATCCATTCTATGATCAAATTCTACCAGCTTCACCTTCAGGACACACACACACACTACAATCTTCCCTCTCCTCACTACTTCCCCTACACCCACCCTGTTGAAGTAAATGTCTTTTTCCTGGGTAATTTCAATAGGCTCCAAACTGGTCTCCCTGCTTTTGCCTGTCCTTCTGCAGTCTTGTTCATACAGCAGTCTGTAGCAGTCCTTTTAACACATCCGTCAGTTCGTTTCTCTGCTCAGAACTCTCCAGTGTCTTCTTCTTCCATTCAAAGTAACAGCCCGTGTCCTGCAACGATTGCTGCTCTGTGCCCTCCACTTCCCCATGGCTCCTAAACCCTCCACACTCACTCCACTCAACCACGCTTGCTTCCTGGACACACCAGATACTCTCCGGCGTCAAGACTTGTCACTTGCTGTTCCCTGTGTCTGGAATGCTTTTCCATCAACTCTCTGTTCCTTCATTTCTTCAGGCTTTGGCCCAAATATCAAAAGGCTGTCCCTGACCACCTGTATAAAAAGCACTGTCAAACTTCCATTTCCAGCACTTGCAACTTTCTTACCCAGTATTTGTTCTTTGTTGCTGTCATCACTACCTGCATGTTATTTTTTCGTGTATTGTGTTATCACCTCTCTCAATCAGAAAAATAAGACCAGTCAGAGGCAAGACTTTGTATTTCTTCACTGTTCTACCCATGGTGCCGAAAGCAGTGCCTGGAGCATCAAGCATGAATAAAAAAATTTGTTGAAGGGCTGGACTCTTCCCTTGTTCCTAGGTGAAGTAACAAATACCCAGGGGCTTACACAAATGTAGAGTCAGTATCCTAGAAGAAAATAGCTCTGAAAACTGTACTTATAATTTGTACTAACAGAAATGTTACCACTAAGTAAGATAATGTGAGAAATGGGGGAAAAAAAGTCATAAGAAAGCAAGAGCAAATGAAAAGACAAAAGGCTTAGATGAAAAGGAGCAATGGTCAGAAAGGATGTTGGATAAGGAAACTAAAATGATGGCAGAATTAAGGCATCCTCTGGGGACAGTGAAAAACAGAATTAACAGGGCAGATATTGATATCGGTTTCTTCATTCATTTATTCAACCACTGCATATTGAGGGCTGCCTCTGCGTATACGTCAGGCAGAGATCAAGGCAAAAGAAATGTATCTTCATGAACATGCAGTGAGATGGACAAAGCCCATGTGCTGCTTATAGGAGTCGAAGCCAGCAGTGCCTTTCTGGAAACCACTTTGGCAATATATACTATGAGTGTCTTAAGATGCATAATCTCCGAGCAACGATTTTATGTCTATGAAAATAATATAAAGAAAGAGATGATCACAGAGTATCACAGAATTTACATATTTATACATAACCTGCACATATTAAAATGTTTGATCTTAGAAACAACTGAAAAATACACAGTAATGGAATTATCAACTAAATATTACCAAGGCCAAACAATGGAGCGCTATACAACCACGAAAAAAGGCAAAAATAACTTTAAGAACATGGAAAAATTTACAATTCATACTTATAAATAATTATATGCAGAATGAATTCAAAGACAGAGCTCTGGTCTTTGGAATTTGGGATTCAGAATTATATTCTTTATGCTTTGGGGCATTTGACAAGTTATCCTCAAGGAACACATTATTACTTTAACAACAATCAGAGCAAGTACTAAATAAAATTTTTATCTCCCACATTAACATTTCTTATATATTTTAAACCTATTCCAATACAGTTCTCAGTTCCTAGAAATGTCCATTCCACTTACGTTATTATAAAAGATTCCAGTAAGTTTAAATTTTTGCTCAAAGCATGTTAAAGTTTTGTATCCTTGCATTCCCGCTCCAGATTTTTTAAACAAGAGACTACACTTTTTGCTTTATAGATATTCTAAGCTCACTGTTGTCTTCTCCTTTTATCTGGGGGTAGTAAAAGAAAAGATTTTATTCAAATGATCCAACAATTCATTACCCTCACCATACAAATGTATCCAAAAACATAACTTTATCAAAAATAAAGTTCCTTATTAAAATGTTTCAGTAAACACATCCAGACTGTGGCATAGTCTCGAAGGTATACACTATGTCAAAATTTGTCAAATTATACACTTTAAATATATGCAGTGTATTACATCAGTTATACCTTAGTAAAGCTACTGAATAAAACGTAACATCAAAAAAGGCCACATACTGAAATATGACTAAAAGGCCTGAGGTCAGACACATACACAGAAGAAAAAGACAACCCACTCCTTAAATGCATCAGCAAGTTTATTTACAAATGCAACTGAACAGAAAGGCTCACCAGTTTCTGGAGAAGATTTCTAGTATACAAACCATGGTTATTTTTCATTAATGAAAATAAGCAGCTTTCTATTGGTAATTACTTAGCAACATTTCTGGTAAAGAAAATAGAGCTCCCTTCATCAAGCAAATAAATGGTACATTGACTGCATTTTTTTAAAATCAGAATACATAGGTAGAAGGAAGGATACAGAAAGCACATTTGGGGATAGATTTTAATGAAATTTTCCAAATGGTTCTGCATTAATTTAGAATACATTACAATAAACAGAGCAAATGCAATTATGTATTTATATTAACTATTTCAAATAATGTTTAAGAACTTTTTTAAAAAAACAATAAAATACCCTCTTCAAAACACCACTAACTAGAAAGTCAAACTAGATCGTTATCTGCCTCAAAAATATTCTTAAGTTCTTATTTTTTCCCTTGTGCTCTCAAGATGCTGAATTCAACAGGTAAATACTGCACTTTTCCCCACACACAATTACCTTATAAATAAACAACAAAAATACTGGTTCTACCAAGACTACAATGCTTCTATGCAATCTAAAGAGGCAAAAAAGTTATTCTTAAAAAAAAAAAAAGGCAAAAAAGACATACAACACATATTTATAGATCTACACGAGCAGCAACCACCTCTTCTTCTATCTGCAACAGTGCTTTCGTATGGAGGTTTACATCACATGGCGGTTGGCCGTCCAGCTGATCAGGCAAGGAGAGAAGAAAGAAAAGTGCTTAGATTCAGAAACGTGAATATTGCCACCTGGGATACATAGCAGTCATCACTCAGAAAGTGGCCCAGTGAGGTAGAAAGAATAACCTGTCACTCACTCTTAAGATAAAGCTAGGCAAATCTCAGTGTTTCGTCTCTGGAATTCTTTATTTGTAAAAATGGAGTAAAAATGAAAATGAACTGCGCACAATAGAAATAAATTACACTCAACTCTCTATTATTTGTCTTGGAGGAGAGAAAAGGCATGGGCAATTTTAAAATGATGATTCCAGAAATCATTTCTATTTGGCTTTGGAAATCGATGAGAGAGAGAAAAACACACGCACATACACACACCCCCACCAGTACATGCCCAGCCTTGACTTTCTCCAACCTCAGTGCCAGCATCCAGGAAAGAACTGGACAGCTGCAGCAGGAAGGCTCAGAACCCACCGACAGACAAAAGAGAGTTGACTGGGCTTAAACCATTTCCAAAGCACTCTTCACGTAGGGGCCATACAAATACCTCAGAGTTCAAAAGCAAATGGTTTTGCTGATACCACTTGTAACACCCTTTCACAATAAGGAAGAAACACACGTTACCAGCATCAAGGTTTAAAATATAAACAGCAGTAAAGGTTGTCTTGCTGTAGCTATACACAACACACACCCTAGTTATGCTAGCCTGCCTTTTATAACACACAAACACATGCTTAGATGCAAAGTAGCATTTGAAGTTTTTTGAAAAACTCTTTTCCAAAAATGACACTGAAACACCATAGTTAATACTTTCCTATTAAAATTATATATTGACATATTATATATTAACATAAAGCACAGACTGACTTATTTTGTATTACATAGAACAATATTTTTTAAAGTTGGTCATATTCTAAATCACATAATCAGAGCCCATTGTTAAATAATAGAAGTAAGTTGATGAGAGACCAATCTTTAGTCAAGAAACAGATTATAGCCTAAATAGAAAATTCATTGAAGTGTTTTGGTTTCTTTGTATTCTTGAGTCATTAAGGGTCTCTGAGGACCCTGGGAAGATGATACAAGACACCACCCTGACTCTCGGACTCTGTTCCTCTCCATTCCTTGGCCTCACAACCCACTCCTGTGTAGCTGGAACCCTGAGCAGTGGCCCATTCACTATACACACTCTTTGAGGGGAACACACTACAATTCTTGAAACCTGGACTCCTACGGCAGTGAACTTGGAGGGGAGCTGGCTGCAGGTTCAGGGAAATACATGGGAACCCGTGGTCTCCTTAAAAGGCAAGAAATTTTCTCTCTGATTTGCTCTCTTACATTTGAATCTGAGATAGCAGTCGTTGCAGTACAGCTGGTGGTTTCTGATTCTGACTTCAGCTCCCGAGGAAGAGCCTCCGAGGTCACACTCACAGGCAACACACTGGGGAACAAAGAAAAGGAACATCCAAAGTCAGTGAGCTCAAGAAAGCTTGGGGCACTCCTCGGGATGGGGGGGAAATGAGCAGAATGCTACTTCTAAGCTCTTAGATACATTTCAGCAAAGAAAAAAAAAAAAAAGGCTGAAAGATGATTAGTAGATTAAAATCAAGCCCGCCAGATAAGATGCTAAAGAATTCATAAAGCCAATATTAAGAGCCGAGATGACCAGTCTAAATACATTCCCCCAAAATAGAAATCATTTGCTGATTGACTTAAAGAAATTTAGTTTTATCCCGCCAGAGGAATGGCAGGTAAGGCCCCCCATGAAAGAACTGGCCAGAGTGAATGAAGGCTGGGCCGTGGCACTCCACCCTGGGGTGGGTCGCTCCCAGTGTCCCTGCTGCACTAGTTTAGCAAGTGTTCCCACACAGCGCCTCACTTCAAGGCTGGATATTTCGATTCTATGTGCCCAAACCCTAATTATCTTGATTCATTCTGCTCTGCCTAGGAACAGCCCAAGCCAGCAATGTACAAGCTTAAACAAGCTGTGGTCTGTGGGCCTCCAGGATCAACAACCGGAATCTTTCTCTGGCCCAATGCAAGCTCAAGAATCAAACAGATATGTCTTTAGAGACAGAGATTACAAAACCAAACAATTAAAGCCTTAGTTCCTTCTTATGTGCAAAAACCTATCAGGTATAAACAGGCTGTGCAATTATAAAAATAGCTACAATGGTAATGGTTTTCCTTACATGTTCTTCCTACTGAAAGCTAGGCTTTCAGACCCTGTGATAATTGCATGTGTCCCTGACCTTAACAACACTAGCAGGTTATTGATATATTTCAAGTATGCCTCTGACAGCATCTTAGAGAAAGCAACTTATGTACTGTAAATTTATAGAATTCTAGCAGATTAGAAATAGAAAATGCAAAAATTTTCCAGATTTAAGTTTTAAAACAAGGTTCAAGATTTGAGAACTAGGGGGAAGCAAGCAATTTGTGATTCAAATGCAGCACAGATTGACGAATACAGCACCTAGCTTGTTAGTGGCACATCTACACCCAGCGGCTCAAAGAAGCCATGCGCTCTCCAAGCAAAGCTTTACAGGCCTGCAAGCTGTTTGTCTCAGTCTCACCTTAAAACAATGCAAATGATAACAAAGACCCAGGGACTCGATGATCATGGCGGCTCCTTTGCCCAGAATGTTATTGCAGTAGGAGCATATGCGCTTCCCACTGACTGACCTAGATGCAGAACAAGAATGGAATGGAGGCTTTCACCTGGGCAGCTCAAGATTCTTCTTTAAAAGTCACACTCTGCTATTAACATTGATAATAATTTAAGAAAAGCTCTATACATATATCTGTGGGAGAATAACTTTTTACCAGCCAGCGAAAGAATGCCTTGATTATACTCTAACCTTGAACCATCTCCATGGCAGCTCTGAGACCCTTGACACCGATTCACATAAATGAGCAATTTCAGTGTAATTAGTCCATCCTGCAATTTCTGATACTATCCTCCTTTGATCACATCTGTACTCAGCCATAGCTGCCCCTCATCTCATCCACCTACATCTTCTTGCCAGTTAAACCAAAGCACACAATGTTGATCATGTCCTCCTACCCCCTCAGAACACCAAAAGGGTGGCCTCAACTTTCTTCGAGAGGCTTTGCAAGTCCTCTGTGACCTATTTTTCTCAGCCTTTGTTTTCACCCTCTTTCTTGGTCCCCCAGTTTTCTAGCTACAGAGAAATGTCAGTGCTTTCCTGACTGTGCCTCTGGCTTAGAGGATTGTCTCTGCAGGGAAGGAAACGAAAAGTACCTGACGGCTGCCATGGACAGAGGGAAGGAGGATTTCTACTCCACTTTTGTATACAGGTCTTTTCTCCTCTCCCGGTTGGTAAGGCGGCACCCGTTCTTCCACGCCTCTGCACTCCCACAGAGTGAGCACAGCGCTTAAGAGGGCACCTCCTAGATCAGGACCTTCTTAGGTCACAAAAGCCCTCAGTCCATCCCTCTGCTCTCCCAGAATGGGTCTCTCAGTCAGTAAACGGGTCCCCCTCCTCTAGCTTCCTCTCATCCTATAGACTGCACCTCCCCACGGTACCCAAATTTACCCTAAATCTTCACCTCCGTTCTCTCAATTCAAACTCATTGATACACACTTTATATCCTGGTACGTGTAAAATTATTTTGGATTTATATAAAACATGTTTTCTTATGAAAGTCTCTTATCTGATAGCTTTAAAAAGTCTCAATATTAATCAATGTGTTTCTACTTTGAAGTATCCCATTTGTAATGGAAAGGAGTACATGCCAACAGCACTCTCTTGGGGTGAGGAGAGCAGCACTGCCCGATGTACTTACATGAGGCATGAAAGATCTGTGGAGAAGCTACCCAGACCTAAAAACCCAAGCAGGGCTGATACCTGAGCTTCACTCCATTAAAAAAAAAAAAAAAACACCCTATCATAACATATACACTTCCCACACCATATGCCCTAGCAAATTCAGCTGATGTAGCCTGAACAAAATGTGGGCAAACAGAACGCCCAAGCAATGATTTTGGCAATCAAAAACCCCAAAAGCAAGATATATCCGACTTCACATTTTTTTAATCCAGCTAGTTCGAAGTCCCCCAGGTGATGGAGCATGCCCGGAAAAGCACTGTAATGCTCTTCTTTTACACTCAGTTCCTTGAGTTTGTATGACACTGTCATGAAAATTGCTATTTGACAATACTGCTTCCACTCAGAAACTTGAGAAGCATTTGTGAGCTGCTGTATGTTTTCATGATTCCACACCGAGAAGTATTCAGGCATGTCTTACATCCAAGACACTGACCACAAGCACAGGCAAATGAGACGGTGGCAACAAGTAGACACCTTCAGTCTCCAGTGGCTTCACAAGACATCCAGAAATGCTCTTAGAGTTGCATGGAAAGGTATTAAGCAAGCCTTCATTGATTTCATACTAGAATACCAAATCTGACACCTTTGAAAGGGCTTCTTTTTCTTTTTCATTGGAAAACTTGGACAGGATTTGGGGGATATTTTAATGAAAAAATACCCAAGACTAAGAGAAGAAAGAGAAATGGCAAGGGCCTCACCTGTTGCGCAGCTGAGAGCCTGACTGTGAAGTTGAAGGGGAATGGCTTCTCGGGGTGGGGGACTGTGTGGTGGCCACACCTGTGGTGGAGGTCTTCACAGGGCCGGCTGAAGGCGGGGGCACGCTGGAGGAGGGGTTCCGCATGTAGGCGCGGTTTGATGTGGACACCAGCTGAGGTGGTGGGCGACTAAAGTCTTGCACGGAGGAAGAGGCATAGAATCCTGTGGGCTGATTGAGCCAAGGGGGCTGTCTCCAAGAATTGGACCGAGGGGAGTCCAGGTTATCTAAAGATTCGCCTCTGAAACACAAAAAAGACTCGTCCAAATAATGTGATATGTTCAACTAGAAATCTGTTTAATTCATCATTCCATTCATTAAAAATCCATTTTATATATTTTGTATGTGGGTATTATCTCAGTATTCTAGTTACATATACAGATGTTCCTTGATGTATGATGATGGGGTTATGTCTCAATAAACCCATCATAAGTTGAAAATATTGTAAGTCAAAAATGCTTTTATTTCACCTAAACCACCATACGTCGTAACTAAGCCTAATCCACCTCAGTCATGCTCAGAACACTTACCTTAGCCTACAGTTGGGCAAAATCAAGGAACACAAAGCCCATTTTACAATAAAGTATCAAGTATACAATTTACTGAATATCATACTGGAAGTAAACAACAGACTGGTCATACGGGTACTCAAGGTATAGTTTCTACAAACGCTTATCACTTTCACATCATTGTAAAGTCAAAAATCTTAAGTCAAACCACTGAAAGTTGAGGACCACCTGTAAAATTACCTTTAACAAGTAAAACTGATTTTCATCATCAGTGGCATCAGGTTTCATAGTCAATCAACCTTCTTTTTTAAAATCTGTTTTCTTTCCAACTTTTATTTTAGGTTTAGGGGATACACGTGCAGGTTTGTTACGTGGGTCAATTGAGTGTCATGGTGGTTTGGTGTACAGATTATTTTATCACCCAGGTAATATGCGGACTACCAGAGAGGTGGTTTTTCAATCCTCAACCTCCCACCCTCCACTCTCAAGTTGGCCCTGGTGTCTACTGTTTCCTTCATTGTGTCCATATGTACTCAATGTTTAGCTCCCACTTTCAAGTGAGAACACCTTCGTTTATTTTTATTTACTGGGGGCTCAGGTAAAACAATAAATACCAACCACCAAAGAAAGAAATATAATAAGAAAAATATTTTTAAAATAAGAGCTAATATTCTACTAAGTCTAAGAAGATTGACACCCTTTAAATCTTCAACAGTTTAGACAGCAAATATAAAGTCTTTTAAAAATTCAAAGAAATACATTATTTAAGAGCTTAAATATGACAAGCATTAGGTTAGATACTTTCACAAAAATATTAACATTATTGAATCTTCACAACACTAAGATTTTTTTTAATCTCATAGAAGTGAGCTTGTCATAGGAAGAGCCAGTTGGTGGTGGAACTGGCTTTCAAACCTAAGTTCTCTAAAACAACCCAGATCATGCCTCCTGTGAAGATCTCATTTACGTAGCACCTGAACCCCTAAATTTAGCAGCTGTTTAATGTCTACATAATAAAACCATTTATCAGTCACTTCCCTTAAAGTACATATGCTTTTAAAGATTTAGCTCCCAAATGGATTTAAATACAACTTTTGCAAAATCTCTCTTAAAATTTGTGTACTAACATTAGTACTACCTACAAAAATGAACTCAAAATTATGTGAATTCGTCTACCTGGTCAAATTTAATTTTATTGCTTTCAAAACTTTTTCTTATCCCAAGCTTGAAATTTTTCTTTTAAATTTTAACATTATAAAAATGATACATTATCATAAGGAGAAAGACTGAAGCTGCAGAGAAACACATCTGAGGGAGAAGAAAAGTCCTTCCTCTCCTGACTCACCTGCCCTAACCCGCAGAGGTAACCACTATTAAATGTGTGTTGTTCCAGACCTTTTCTCACATATGCAAGCACATATTTACATACATATATAAATTTACATATGTAAGTATAGATGTGTCTATATACATATGTAATGTGTTTGTGTTTAACAGTCTTAAACAGATGGATTATTATTCCACAACAGTTTGCAGTAACTTCATTTCCATTTATTATGTATTATCTTAGAACTATCGTCATTCTGCTCATATGATAGACTGTACTTCAGTGGCCTCCAGTGAAGCATACCTTTTGGTATCCATGCCCTTGTGTAGTCTCCTCCCACTGACTCTGGGGTTAGTTACATGACTAATTTGGCCAATGGGGCATCAGCAAACATGATGCACATGGCAGCTTGATAAGCACTTGCTTATTAAGGTATTGCCTTGGTGCGAGCTTTTCCTCTTTGAATCCAGGTCCCATGCCATGGGATAGCCCAAAAAACTATGTGGAGAGGCCTACATGCAGAACACAGGCCCCTCAACTAGTAGCTCTGGCCAAGCTCTCAAGGAAGCCTCTACAGCTACAGGGACAGCAAATTACAGCCTACTGCCAAGATAGACACAGTTCACGAGCTGAGACTATTTTTCACATTTTCAAAGAGTCTTTAAAAAAAAAAAAAAAGAATACGCGACAGAAATCTATGTGACCTGTAAACCCTAAATTATTTACTATCTGGTCCTTATACATAAAGACTTACCAGTCCCTGCTGTAAATGACTACAGCTGCTCAAGTGTCCCAGCCAATATCATGCAAATAACTGCCCAGTCAATCGTCAGGACTGTGAGAGATTATGAGTTATTGTCTTAGCTCACTAAATTTGGAGGTGGCATATTATGTAGCAACACTTTTCTTTCATTCTTCAATAGTCATGCAGTGTTCCATCTTATCAGTATGCCACTGTTTATCGAATAACTACCGAATATCTCCTTACTAGCAGACACTGGTTTTCTTTTGCCATTAATGAATAATGTGTAAGTGTACATTCTTGAATATATCTTCGCATATTTATCCAAATATATCCAGAAGATAGAGTGCTAGAAACTACATTGCTCAGAGGGTCAGATATATAAACTTTTGCTTAATACATACTGAAAACCCGTCCAACCAAGTGGAAAGAAGAATTCCTATTTCCATATACAATTGTCAATACTAAAATTTAATCAATTTTAACTCTTTACAAATCCAGTGAACAAAAGAGATACATTATTGTTTTAGGACTACTGTTGATCTTTTACGTTTATTGGCTTTGTGTTTCTTTTTCCCATGACCTGTCTTGTTCATATCCCTTTGTCTATTTATTTTATTTATTTGTTTATTTTTTTGAGACAGAGTCTCTTGCTCCGTCATCCAGGCTGGAGTACAGTGGCGTGATCTCATGGGTTACAGTGATTCTCCTGCCTCAGCCTCCCAGGTAGCTGGGATTACAGGCACACATCTATTTTTTATAGAGTTGGTAGGGATAATTTTCTGATTTTTACAAAGTTATTAATATACTGACATAATTAGCTCTTTCTCTGTGATACGTTACAAATAAATTCCTCAGTCTGTTTGTCAGATAAGAAAATACTGAATCAGGCCGGACGCGGTGGCTCACGCCTGTAATCCCAGCACTTTGGGAGGCCGAGGCGGGCGGATCACAAGGTCAGGAGATCGAGACCACGGTGAAACCCCGCTACTAAAAATACAAAAAATTAGCCGGGCACGGTTGTGGGCGCCTGTAGTCCCAGCTACTCGGGAGGCTGAGGCAGGAGAATGGCATGAACCCGGGAGGCGGAGCTTGCAGTGAGCCGAGATCGCGCCACTGCACTCCAGCCTGGGCGACAGAGCGAAAAAGAAAAAAGAAAATACTGAATCAGAGCAGCTGCATTCATTTACCCAAGATACATCTTTTAAAATGTTCCTGCACTGATTTCCAATTAATATCTTTATCTTTATCTCCTTAAAGTTATAAAAATTAGGTTTATCATTTTGTGAACCCAATTATCATGATTCCAATCTAATCATTATCTCATTAGAAATATAAAAATATGAAACTTCTGTTTGTTGAAGTTCAGCAGCCAAGAAGGTTCTAAGAGCAGTGTGCATTATTTAAGCATCTGAACCTCCCTTCAGAACGCCCCGTCCAGATTTCCATCCTACTAACCATGTGATTCTGTCAGTGTCTTTCCTGCTTGAGCCAAAGTTTCCTCATATTAAAAAAAAAAAAAAGAAAAAAGAAAACACTGGAATTATTATCCCTACCTCAATATGTTTTCCTCAGATTAGATGAGGTCATGTAAACTGAGCAACTGGCTGTCTAACACACAACAGTGCCCCAGAGCATTCGCTCTACGTTCCTTTCATCTCTTCTGCCCAAAGCACCAGCATGTCTACAAATTAAATATCTGCCTCACAGTAAAGACAAGAAAATAACTCCTAAGATGTCTCGCACCTTCTCATGATCCCAGGAAGACTAACAGGCTCTTTGTTGACACTGGCACTGCGCTGTCGGATCCAGCTGTTGTCATTGTGAAGGGGTGTTCTCTTCCTCATTTCCTGAAGGATTTGCTGCCTCTCCAACTCTGCTCCTGATGGTACTTGCTCTTTCTTGGAACTCCTCTGTGAAGAGGTCGTGTTCCCAATTCGGTCTAAATATTTATTGCTTCCTAAATTAAAACAAGTCAAAGGCTTTGGGATTAGCACATTTTAAAAGTGACACTGATGACTGACATCACTAATGATCAGGGGAATGCAAATCAAAACCATAATGTGATACCACCTCACTCCTGCAAGAATGGCCATAATCAACAACTCAAAAAATAATAGACAATGGTGTGAATGCAGTGAAAAGGGAGCACTCCTAAACTGCTGGTAGGAATGTAAACTAGTACAACCACTATGGAAAATAGTGTGTAGCTTCCTTAAAGAACTATAAGTAGATCTACCATTTGATCCAGCAATCCCACTACTGGGTATCTACCCAGGAGGAAAAGATGTCATTATACGAAAAAGATACTTGCTCACCCATGTTTATAGCAGCACAATTCGCAACGCAAAAATGTGGAACCAACCCAAATGCCCATCAATCAATGACTGGATAAAGAGAATGTTATATATATAAAATAATGTATGTGTGTGTATATATATACACACACACATATATATGGCATATACACGCACACACATATATATATGACACGGAATACTACTCAGCCATAAAAAGGAATGAATTAATGGCATTTGCAGCAAGCTGGATGAGATTGGAGACAATTATTCTAGGTGAAGTAACTCAGGAATGGAAAACCAAACGTCGTATGTTCTCACTTATAAGTGGGAGCTAGGCTATGGGGATGCCAAAGCATAAAAATGACACAATGGGCCAGATGTGGTGGCTCACGCCTGAATCCCAGCACTTTGGGAGGCCGAGGCAGGTGGATCACAAGGTCGGGAGATCGAGACCATCCTGGCTAACACGGTGAAACCCCGTCTCTATTAAAAATACAGAAAATTAGCCGGGCATGGTGGCGGGCGCCTGTAGTCCCAGCTACTCGGGAGGCTGAGGCAGAAGAATGGTGTGAACCCGGGAGACAGAACTTGCAGTGAGCCGAGTTCACACCACTGCACTCCAGCCTGAGTGACAAAGCAAGACTCTGTCTCAAAAAAAATAAATAAAAAATAAAAAGAACACAATGGATTTTGTGGACTCAGTGGGAAAGGGTTGGAAGGGGGTGAGGGATAAAAGACTACAAATTCAGCTCAGTGTATACTTCTCGAGAGATGGGTGTACCAAAATCTCACAAATCACCACTAAAGAACTTATTCATGTAACCAAATACCACCTGTTCCCCCAAAAACCTATGGAAATAAAAAATTTTTTAAATAAAAAATACAAATACAAAATGATAGAGAGAGAGAGAGATGGAGTTGATGTAACAAAAAAATAAAGTGTATTTGAAATTGCAGCCTCGATAAATAAATAAATAAATAATTTTAAAGTGACAGGATAAACCGCCATGGCAGCGCAGCTTAAAATGTGGCTTTGTGCACGTGTGCTAACATTGTCAATTCTCAATGAGGGTACTTCATGAGAACATAAAGTAACTGCCTCCTATTCCCGAAAGTCCAGTTCCACAGTCAGAGCCACACCAGAGAACGCACTTGGGAAAACGAAAAAGGCTGTCCAAAAAGGCAACAATCAGTACTGGTTTCAGTATTACTCAGTTACAAAGTGCTCATCTAGAAATAGTTTTTCTTCCACTCATCCGTTCCTAAATTAAATCAATCAAGAACATGCTCAAACGTTTGCTGTAACAACTCTAAAAGGAAATGGAGTTTTCTTCTCTCAAAAAATGTATACTCCCCTGGGGAGAGAGGACATAAATGCACATATCTCTGGCTAACATGACCCGAGTGTGCACGGTATAAGTTACAACCAAAATTGTAAGAATATGAGCACATTCAATCATCGAAATGGCTTTTGTGAACACGAAAAATACTCAAGCAATTCAAATAATCATCTATAAATGTTATTAGACTTGCTTCTACTCTAAGAAACTGACAGAACTATAATTCGAATGTTGAATTTATTCGTGACAAGTAAGTCAGGTTTTATCCTAAGGACTTTGTCTCTTGGATTTGGCGATTAGTTTCTGATTGGGGTAAAACACCCACAACTTTGACATATCATTCCTGCCTTAATCTGGATTCGGAAATCTCATCTAAGGATTTATTTTCTTTCTTTCTCCACATTTATTGCTACTGCCATTCTTTTAAAATGTATTGTTTGTCTATGCCTTGGTTCATCTTCCAGTAAGCAATGAGCAAGACCAAAGTTTCTCATACAACTATATTTACATTTGTGTACATACAAAGCTTATCAATTGGGTCAGACTTTAAATAAATGTTGCTTTTTTTTTTTTTTTTTTCTTTTTTGACAGAGTCTGCTCTGTCACCCAGGCTGGAGTGCAGTGGCATGATCTTGGCTCACTGCAACCTCCGCCTCCTGGGTTCAAGCGATTCTCCTGCCTCAGCCTCCTGAGTAGTTAGGACTACAGGCATGTGCCACCATGCATGGCTAAGTTTTGCATTTTTAGTAGAGTCAGGGTTTCACCATGTTGGTCAGGCTGGCTGGGATTACAGACGTGAGCCACTGTGCCTGGCCTCTTTTTAAAGTGTTGTTTTGGTATAAGCAAGTTTTTAAATCAAATATTTAATAACTTCCACTGCCTGCTATCCCAGAGCTTGCAATGAGTTAATGAAGGGGGGAAAACACACATACAAAATAATCCGATTAATGACACAAGCCACAAATATTAACAAGATTATTCTGGAGATTCAGTTTTGGTTACTGAAAGGTCTTGTGTTTACGTTCAGGAGAGAGAATATAATCACTGCAGGTTAAAAATATTTCATGGAATACCGAAGTACTTAAACTATAATTTTAATGGTGGCTAAAGGCAAGTTCAGCGAGAATAAATGGAAAATACAAATAGGGAAAGGTAAGACCCGAGGAACCAGATCAGAAAGTATGTGACAAATTGGGAACTGAGAAAGATGATAATGTGGTTATAGTTAAAGACCCCTTAAGGGAAAAATAGCAAAATTGGCTGGAAAGTTAAACTAGAACCAGATAACGAAGGTCCTAGCTGCTCAAAGAAAGGGATAATCATAGAACTGTGAATTCCAATAAAAACTGTAAGTTCTATAAGCTTTAACCAGAGGTCACAAACTAGCTGCCACCAGGCTATTTGGCCTGTAGATAGGTTGTTTTGCTCATAGTGTATTTTAGTTTTTTAAAAAGATCTCTTGTCAGCACATAAAAGATAACACATGAAAACAATTTTTTTTTTTTTTTCACTTTTCTGTTACAACAGGAAGAGTAGGCAATCAGAGGCTTGCCTTCTCCAGCATGGCAATGATAGGCTGGAGCTGGGCAGTGGCTATCCACCTTGATGGGCATGTTGACCTCAGCCCCACCTGGACCTTCATTCATTCATGTAGATGACCAGCCACCTGCTTACACAAATCCTGATATGCAAACCCTGCTTAAAATGGTAATTACCACTTAGGGTTTTTTTTCATAGTGACATAATTTCTGCTATATGCATTCTTCAGAAACATATTTTATAATACTAACAATGTCAAGTCCAAATTGTTTTTGTATAATTAGTGAAATCATAATTTTTGATTTTTTGACATTTTGGCATTTACATGCATAAATCAAATTAGTATGCAATTTTTAAGTCCTCCAGTATTTCGTAGAAATCTTTTCTGTACTGTTTCTTTAGCTGCAAAATAAAATCTACTATACATAGCTGCATCAGCATCGCTTTGCAAAATTCCCACATATTTCATTAGCAATTTAAAAACCATTTCAATCTCCCAGTATTTTTTCACTGTAATATAAAGCCAAAAATAAACACAAGATAGTTGTTTTGCTGTTTTTATATACAGAGGTTAAAATACTAAGTATTTTAATTAAATAGTCTTAATGAATCTGAAATATCTTGACCTTAAAAATACTTCTCCTAACATGATAGCACAAATAAGCAACTGTGAAGAAGGAGTTTGGGGGGAAAAATCGCATTTACCATTTTTATTTGTGGAGTAATCATCCAGTTCAGTAGTAGATCTGGATTTATTCCTAAAACATAGAACACAATATATTAAATATGTCTCATTAATAACCTCTTTTATATTTATGAAGTAAAAACACCAAAGATATTGCTTTTTAAAGCAGTTGATTTATTTTGTATGTCTGCTGAGAGCAATTACTTTTAAACCAAGAAATTTTTCATCTTTCACAAACTCACAGAAAACCTTGACATCCCTAAAAAAGAGAAGAGTGAAATGCTGGAAATAGATACAAACACGTGACAGTACTTCTCCAGTTTGTATGATGAGGAAGACTATAATTTATTGATCAATTGTTGTCAACGTTCGCCCTGGTCCAGATCTCAATCTTACCAGGCTTACAAAGCATCTGCCATCAGATCACCTACAGTCAGTCCGTCCCACCTCCTCCACACTGCCCAGGGTTATAATGTCAACTTCTTGGGCATTAGGGTGCCACTGACTACTGTGGAACATTAATTTACCAAATGCCATCTTAGTGTTCCAAAGAAGTACTAAAGCATACAGCACAGTCAACTTCTGGAAACGCCTTAACTTTGTACCAATAAAACTTAGGTGTATAAATCAACACATGCTAATCTCATTCCCATTCTGCTAGACACACTGAACTTTGAAAATAATAGTGGTAGCTGGGCATGGTGGCTCGCTCCTGTAATCCCAGCACTTTGGGAGGCCGAGACAGGCGAATCACTTGAGGTTAGGAGTTTGAAGCCAGCCTGGCCAACATGGTGAAGCCTCATCTCTACAAAAACACAAAAACTAGCTGGACGTGGTGGTGTGCGCCTGTAGTCTCAGTTACTTGGGAGGCTGAAGTGGGAGAATCACTTGAACCCAGGAGACAGAGGTTGCATTGAGCTGAGATCGCGTCACTGCACTCCAGCCTGTGTGACAGCGTGAGACTCAGTCTCAAAAAAAAAAAAAGAAACGAAAAAGAGAATAGTAGTAATAACAATGTATAATATACATTATAAAATAAGATGTAATATTACACTTATGTACATATATGTACATATTACATAGGTATAAATCCAATAATCTATAATACATAATGTATCATAAGTGGTAGACAGCTGCACTTGTGAATAATTTCACTTGTATCTACATAGAAGAAAACATTTATTACCGGATGTCTAGCCACACTCTTCGATGCCTCTAGGGCATGCTTTATCTGGACTGCCTGCAGGTATTCATATTTTTCCAGCTTCCTTAAGTTTCCTTTCTCTGCATTTTAGTTATTTTCCCCAAGGTCATGAGCTATATAAATAAAGCTTTTGTAAATATGTAAGTAAATCCATAACTTTTAAAAGGAGATAAACACTTTAATGATTTACAGTTACCCAGAGAGATTATAAATAAGGTCATCTATCACCAGATTTTCCTTTAGCTTATTGTCAGCCTATTACTACCTGCTTGTCTCTTTCCTTTTCCCCTTCTATTCTGAGCCCTGTTCAGTTATCCTGGCTGCTTGTAGATACAAGTCTTTCCTTATATCTAATAAATAAGACAAAAGGAGACATTTCAGCTCTGAAAACACAAGGTAATGGCCCTCCCCTCGATATTGGTTTGACAGACTGTTTAGAAGCCCTCAGTGATTTCAAAACTGCAAAACATTTTAAAAATTACTTTAAAACATTAACACAGTATTTTAGGAAATTTTAAGATACATATAACTTTCCAGATATCTTGAATTTTATCTTCATTCCCCAAAACTGACCAGTAGTTCTAACCAAACTGCCTAAGAGAAAGGTCACTATTCCCATTTCAGATGTCCCTTTTGGGAGTAATGTTAAGCCATTATTCATAACCTTTTTAAAATGAAGATTACGTTGGATTACAGAAAATGGACACAGTTCTTTCCCAGCCATGCCCATTCCCCTTGCAATGTGATTCCTGCCATAAAGAGGCAGTGTTCTTCTCTCCTCCATGACCTGTGACTGTGACTTTAGACAACTTACACCTCAAGATGCCTTGCAGATTTCCTCTTTTTAATTCCCTTTCCCCACCTCACCACCACGTACACATAAGACCTCCCTGGCTGGGTGGACGTTGAAAGATATATGACCCAGTTGTTCTCACTGCCCCAGCTGACCCCAGCCAACCCCCAAAAGCAGAGCTACCTAGTTAATAGGTAGCAGATATATGAGCGAGCCCAGTCAACTAAAAGGCTGCCCAATTGAGATCAGCCTAAAATGCAGACCCATAAAATCATAAGCTAATTCATTAAGTTCACGAGTAGTTGTTACACAGCAAAAGCTAACTGATACAAAGATCAACCAGCAATTCCTCTTTATATCCCACAAATGACAAAGGGCTAAAGTAGTTCTACAAATCATCGATGCAAGCCCTGGAATATTATATGAAGCCAATGATCATCAATTAAATTACAATAACATGCTCTACATACCTGTCATTAGGAAGAAAACCTGAAGATGCTTCTTCTCTCTTTGGTATATCATAGGAATCAACAGGCCTAAAAGATAGAAAACTGTTTTGTAGTCAAAATATTAGACTTTAAGCCCTTCCCTGAGTTTAAGAAAAGGGTATCAAAATAATGTCATTCTAGCCTCTTTATGCAAATGGTCTTTGGGTTAAAAACTAAACATACAAAGGTATTTCAATGAATAACCACAGAAAATAGATCCCCTATTGCCAACAGACATTCGCAAGCCATTCATTCACTCGTTCATTCTACAAATACATATTAAGTGCCCACCATATTCCAGTACCACTCCAAGAATGGGCTACAGAAGTACACAAAACAAACTTACTGACTTTATAGCACTTACATCTTACTGCAGCAGGCAGGCCAACAGATAAACAAATAAATGCAAAATATAAAATAAGTTAAGAGTACACAGAGAAGGACTGAGAAGGGGCCTGTATTTTAAATCGAGTATTCTAGAAAGTCCAAGGAGGTGATGTGTGAGCAGAGACTAGAAGAAAATGAGAACACAAGACACACAAACATTCAATGACTTCTCCAAGCAGACGGACTAGAAAATACACAAGACCTTGGGTATTTTCAAGGAAGAAACAGGAGGCCAGTGTGGCTGGAATAGAGTGGGTAAGGGGAAGAGTGGAGGTACTACAAGGTAATGTAGCTCATGGCAGCCTTCTAGGCCTTGGCAAGGATGCTGGATGGGGTTCTGATGTGACAGGAATTGACTTGGAGGGTTCTGGATGGGGAAGCAAGATGACATGGCAGGGTTTATGATTTAAAGGTTCTCTTTGGTGGCTTGTATTCACTTGTGTGGAGAATGGGTGGTAGGAAACAGGAAGAGCAAGGGGGTGCCTTTGAAGTGGGGAATGGATACAGCTGAGCCAAGCTACTCTAAGCCTCTGTGCCCTCTGGCTGTGGGGACAAACCTCCTGTACTGGTATATTCTGACTGACGTTTCCCGCTCTATCTCTGCCTGGTGCTTCTGCTCCTCCGCAGGGCGCTTCTGCTCCTCAGTCTCAGCCTGAAGCCGCTTCTGCTCTTGCTCTTCCTGAAGCTCTTGCTCCCGTTTCCTCTCTCTCTCAATAACAAGCTGATCCTGCGGTTTCTTTCCTTGGTCCTCATGAACAACTTCCTCTTGTGGCTGTCTCCTGTCCTCTTCTCCTGCTCGGGTTCCTTCCCTGTCTGAAGACTTGGACCCTTCACTCCAGGTAGCTTCCCAGGTGGCAAGAGAGGGCTCCCGTGTGGTCACAGACATGCTGTTTGAGCTTAGGACCATCAGTTCCTAGGTGACCAGTGAAAAAAGAAATCCATCTAAATCTGTTTATTTCTGTAATTTCATATAGACACATATATATTCAGTTTTAGATGCTACTAACTATAGTTGGCCCAGGACTCCACTCAAAAAAACATGTTAAGAGTTCTACCACTAAAAAAGCTACACATGAGTTACTGAGATGTAACTTAGAAGAGGAAGATGCACTGAAGTTCTATTAACATAATTTGTTAATGATATACTACAAAAACTAGGAGAAAGGCTGAAACATCCAAGCAAAATTCTAACAAATCAGAGCTCATTGTATTTTTCAAAGAGCTACATAGGTGAACATATGGTCAAAAGTGGAGAAAAATGAAGTGTTTCCTGCTTCTCAGCTAATCTCACCAACAAGGTAAAGAGAAGAAAAACTATACAGGCATGTTCTAACACTACCTCATCCAAGTACTTGGAATTCTCTCTCTCTGCCTCCTGTTTGGCCCTTTGCCACTCTTCCCTCAGTTTCTCCTGCTCACGTTGATATTTTTCCTGTAAGAAAATATGATACACATTAATCCAATAGATTAACTCTTCACATTAGGAATCTTCTTTATTAACACTTCTACGATCTCTAAACCTTCAACCTCAAACCTTTAAAGACAATGATTTTATTTTCACAAGCCAATCAGATTTTGGTCCCTATAGTAGAAAAGAGCATATATTGAATTAAAAATGTGGACACTGGGGTAAAAATGTAGACACTGGGAATTAAACCCCCATCCACCCTTTACCATGGCTGTAATTCATTAAAGACTCTAGCAAACTGTAAGGACTCTGCAATGGACCTAGCAACAGTTTGTGGGAACCAAGTCATCACAAAGTCCGTGCACTTCACACCTGCTAAGTGAGTGCCCTTCATACTCTACAAAACCACACATGGGGGTTAATAAATAATGATTTTTAAAGGATGACTCTGGAAATCTTCAAAATGGAAAAGTAATTGTTTTATGGAAAATATACTATGGACAAAAATATTTGTTGTTGTGAAACTGTTGAGTTTAAAATTAGTTTCTCAATACTAGTTGACACAGACTGGAGAAAAGCCGTGAAATCCAACCTAGTTCCTACCCGTCCACGTGAGCCAGAGCTACCTGCAGTAGGCGGTCCTGCTCCTTCTGCCACCTCTCCTGCCGCTTCCGCTCCTCCTCTTGATCCCACACCCAGCGACTCGGGGCACTGATGGTTGGAACTGGAAGCTAATCAGTTATCAGAGAAGAGATGCAAATAGAGAACATAACTTCATTAAGTCATCTACTGAACCACTTTTGCACACATAAATTATTCATATCACAGTTTGCTTAAACTGTACCAAGGGAGAGCTGGCTTGGCTCTGAATTTTAAAATAAGTTTTTCAACTTGGAAGGATAACTCTCTGATAAATTCTTATGCAACCTAAAATCATGGTAAGCACGCTACTGTGTAACTAATTCAGTCCCACCAAGTTCGCCTTATTCAAAATGACAAATGAATGCTACTTACATCAGGAACCACCGAATCAGAGCTTCCTGTGTTGCAGCACATGGGCAAGGAAGAAAAATATACAATATAAGTCTTCATTTCTGTGAAATAATTCCTTTCAGAAACTTCTATCATTAGCTGTCTCTATGCCAGTATACTAAGTGACAACGTTTTTTTAAACAATAGTCAGTAAATCCTTTTTTCTCCAGGTGTAACAGTTCCATCTGTTACTCATGTTTCAAATTCAAAGTTAGTAAAAGGAAGATATAGATGCCAAAATAAACCCTAGCTGTAGGTATTAGAGTAGGATCAATGGATAGTTCTGAAGAAACCTCAGAGTTCTTTTACTAATAAATTGGACAGCATCTCATAGTTTTGCCTAACAGGCCAAAAAAAGGAATTTCAAAAGTTACATCTACCAAATCCCAATTTTTTACTTGCCACTACTCAATTACAACATGACTGCTGCAAGTCACATTTTTCAAGTCTTCTTACTAATGAGCCACTTTCATAAGCAAGTCACCGCAACAAACATGTTCAAGAAACATTTCCTTTTTCTACTCCCATTATTTGAAACACACGTATTCAAACTTCATATGTAAACTTATGGGTACGGTCTTATTCTTTTTATTCTTAGGGGATCTACATAAGTATACCTTTACATAGAACAATGATTATTTAAAAAGTAAAACTTCAGAAAACACACTCTCATACAGTACTTTTAAACGTTCTTAAAACCTCAGCTGTCAAATTATTCACATACAATTTTTTACAGAAAATTGCTTTGAAACCTAGAAAAGTATTCTTCCCTACAATAGCCTGTTGAAGAAAAATGGGAGAAAATTAGAACAGAGAAGGAAAAGGAATTGCTTTATTTTAGCCAGTTTTAGGAAGGAGTATCATACTGTTTCAATTAAATAGCCATAGAAAAAAATAGGAATTTTATTTTAAAATATAAATAAAAAACACTAAGGATACTGACACAAATAGACTTGCATAGTTGGTAAGGTATTTCTGTTTATGGTCAAAAACAGACCTTCATCTAAAGGAAGGACATTAGGTGATTAACACAAAATACACAAACCCGGTAAGCACTGTGTTATAAGGCACATTTGTAAACATGTTAATAATCTTAAAAGTAAGAAACAGTAACATTTTAGATGGCAAGAGCACAATATCCTTTGACCATTGCATCTCAAATGTTGACTATTACTTTTAAGTTCTTAGTAGCAAAACAGAGCTTGAACAGCATTCATGTGACAGAGCATTAGGCAAACGTGGCACAGGAGCAAATGTCACATGCACAGCACATTGTGAGGCCCTGCCCAAGTACACCAACACGGAGAATCTCAAAATGCACGTTTTCAGATGCAACCAAAATGTATTTACTTTGAATTTACTTCAAAGTCAACAGAGCAGTCAAATCAACACTCCAAAGCCACCATACCATAGCAAAAATAACTCTTCTTTATTAAGAGTGTTTTCCACAACCAAAAACAAGTCAGAGTTTTTAAAAACTTGGCCAATTGCATGTTGGTGTAATCTAACATTATGCAATTTGTAGGAAGCAGTAAGGCTTAAATGAAATTCCTCATTTCTTACTGTTACCCAGTGGAAACAAGTGTGTGTTTAAGAGCATCTACCCCTCTTTTTTTTTTTACAAAGTTAAAAAAAAAAGTAAAACCTTTATAGAGGTATACAAAGGACACACAGAGACCCATTACCACAGAGGTAGACCCATGAACTGTAAGAAAAGCCTGATGACCCTAGGGAAAGAATGGAAATGGGTTATGTTGCTTAGTCATAATGACAGACAAATTGAAGAGGCTCAGTGCCCAGCACCACAGACCGTGAGGAAGAGTGGAGAGGGAGAACAATTCCATGAAAGTGCATGAATTGTTAGCTTTGTGGTTTACCTTGTTCAAAAAATTGTGATCGCCTTTTTAAGTTTTTCAAAGAAATGGATTCAGATGCTAGTTGAAAAAAAAATAAACACTATGTCATTCATTTTTATTTCTCACCACTGGTAAATCAAACGATACTTGATATAGCTTTCCAATCTGTGCAATATTATTTTAAAAGATCACAAAACTGATAGCCGTAGAAAATACAGATTATCTCAAGGCACAGGGACACACAATTTTAGTAGCCTACACTACATTCAAATTAGTAGAAGGAACAAATATTTTTATTAATAAACTTTAGCATATAGCATCGGAGTTTCACAGCTATGAAAAGCCAAGTATCATCTTCCATGCTAGATCACGCCGTTTTAGGGAAAAGGAAATTAATATTTTTTGCTTAGGTTAAACAATCCATAATCTTGTCTACTACATGGAAAACTGTCTATAACAAACAGTTTTCACAATACTTATGAATAAGAAGTTAAAAGTAATGGGGAAGAAAACAAAACAAAAAAAAATGATACCCAAAGAAAGATCAAAGAAAACCAAACACTAAAGTTACATCCATCTTCTAACTAGAATGTTTTGACCTAGTTTTCAAGATCTGGTAGCTACTAATATTAAGTAAAGCAAATGGAGTTCTGCCAAGAAAACAAAAGGAAAACATTCTGACTTCTCCCACAGATCTGTCACAAGACTATGGCATAAAATCTACATATGATTATTACTTGATACTAGTTAGTGCTCACTTACCTAAACAAAACCTTCCAATGACAGGGCCCATGTATAGTTCCCTAGTCATAGAAGAGCTAGATGTCTGATCAGCTATCTCACCTGACTCACTGCAGAATAGGACCTGGTGCTTTACATGTAACATCATGGAGAAAAATAAGCAAAGTTTGCTTTAAAAACTCTTTTGATAAAGAATGCAACTGAAAACAAAATATAGTCACTTCTATCTATCAGAAATGAAATACAAAGTTAAATAATTGATAAGGAAAGGGAAACTTATATATTTAGGTTGGCTTTAAGATAATGTATTATAAACTGTCAAATGTAGAGTTAAAGCCACCAAAGCACTGTGAAAACCCAGTCCCATTCTTGGCAGTCTAGGTTCACGGTAGAAGAAGTCTCATCTTCTCTGGGTTTCTTCCCCTGCCTACATGACCGGATCTATTCTTATTTTTCTGTGCCCAAGGAATAGCACACGATGTATGGTAGCTAAATTATTTCTGGATGGGCTGAAGAAGAAACACGGAGATAACTCCAAAATTTCTGTAGATATTTTGCCTTCTTTTTCATTACAAATGGGTACATCTGCTAATGACTTTATTGCCACTGGCATTTCCCTCTTACAGCTAACTGCCTCCAAGGTTGTCCCTTTCACAACAAGAAGAAAGAAAGGAAACTTCATTCATAGTTCGAAGCTTAACTAAGATTCCCTTTGCCAGCATACCATAGCAAGAAAGCTGACTCGGGAAGAACCAGTCTTTCTTAATTGACTTAGGCATGCAGGCACTCAGAGTTCCGGAACACGCTGCCAAAGTTTTGTTTGCAGTGCCTGAACAATTCAGCACGGGAACTGAATGCCCTTCCACCTGGCTGCAATTGGATCTGCGTGCTAACCTTTTAGTTTCAACTTGCAGTAGACCAGTTTTTCTTTCACTCACAGATACTAATTTTTATAACAGCAGAACTTGAGTGCTATGTCTTTTCCTGTATAATGTGAGTTATAATGGTGATATTTACCTTTTGATTCAAAAGCATTGCTTTCATCATGAATTCCATTGATTTCTTTGGATTCAATATTCTGGAAAGGGTAAAAATGCTAGTTAATATTCTCTCCAGTTGGACTTTGGACTTAAATAATGCATTTCACATTACTGAAATATATATTTTAACAAGATGAGTTTCTCGGGATATTGATGCATTCCTTACAGCCTTTTACATGTGGTAGAAACTTAAGTTTTTTCATTATATTTCAATATTTGTGGCAGAATTAATGACCAGCTGCAGGCATGGATGATTTTAAGTTTAATCAATCGTTAATTTTCCAATATATAAAATCAGCCAGATAATCATTAGTCCATTTGGCTTATATTTATGAGTACACAAAACTGTCATATAGGATTCTCAAACATTTAAATATTTCTTACACAATATAGTAAGATCTCCTTATTAAATAAAAGGAGTTACCTTGAGATGATAATAGCACAATCTAAGGAGTATAAGTGCATAATATTTAGTTGAAATTTAAATTTAATTATTAATTTAGATGAACCATTTGTATCATAAATAGAAACCACATTACTTCAAAGTCTATAGGAAAAAGTACTGCTTTGACACTTAAAAAATTTTCTACATTATATTTTTGATCAAATTAATGAAACTGATTATCTCTTAACCACGTATGTAAGTCTACCCACCAAATTCACCTACACAAAAACTAAAAACGCTTCATGAAGTTTTCCATTACACCCCACTATTACATTTATTTGCCAGTAAAGACTAGGGAACACATAAAGAAGTCATAGTTTATAATTTTATGTAATTGCTACTTCACGCTCACAAACATCTGAGAGGTGGGTCTAATACTGAAAGATTGGTGGAAAACACCTGCAAAACAACATTCTGGGATCTTTTGATTTTACCATTATATAACTCACAACTACTCTATGAGGAATGCCTATGATTTTCAAAAATCTATTTTACTGTATCTCTTTACTATAATTTACGTTATTCAATCATTTACATTTTACAGGTAGTATCAAAATTGTACAAACGAAAGAAATTAGTTTCTTCCATACACAATTCTAACAACTGCTTTGCTCCACACCAGTACTTCCTACTTCTCCAAATACTCACAGAACTCTGAAGGCTTTCGGAGAAATCGGTCGTTATAGATAGATTTGAAGATTTTTCTGAGTTGTAAATTCCAGAAGTTGCATCAATCCACTTTGTCTCAGGTGAACCTATAATTTTGGTAGCCATACTGGTGAGATTGAGGGTTTTATGCCGTATAAATGGCAGGGAAGGTTGGTCTTTGCCCCAGTCTGATTGGCACATGAAGATCAAATGAGTACACATAGATGTTGAAGTGGAAAGAATAAAGTCATTGAATGCACATATATAAAAAAAATCTACATATACAAGACAAACAAATCAGGCAGTATGTGAAATAAATCAAGAGTTTAGGGCTTTTTACCAACAGACCACCTTCCCAAAACACAAGAGTTAAATCACGTTAGTAATGAAAAAACTAGCAAATTTGCTGAATCTTTCCCATAAACCAGGATAGATATTTTATTTTGATATCATAAGTTGGTAGGTCTGTGGAGGCTTAATGCCCTTTCCCATCTAGCCTCTATAATTAAGAAACACATTAATGGAATACACATTGAAAGTTCTTTGAGAATAAACAGGAATATGACCTACCAAGCTCTCTCTCTTATACCAATATGGTTATGATGCTGCAGATAAAGTTAAATCATAGCATAGTTCTTAATACTCAGTATTATTATAAATAACTCCTGGATGCAGATACATTTGTCTTCAACTGATATTTGCATTCAATCAAACCAGTACATGAATCAGTCAATAAATACTGTAGAATTCAGTAAATTTGCTAGTGAAAAGTCCAGACAGAATATTCAAAGGAGTAGGGTTCAAGATTTGTCACGATATAACTACAAAATACCTTTAATGCCAAAACACAAGTAAAGTGAAAAAATAAAAAGTTATTAAAGCAAATTGTTAGAACCACTTGCCAAGGGCCAGGTCCCAATTCCAAATGCCAGACACGGTGGTAACACAAACTCACCAGCCTTTCCATAGCGCCTCACATCCATCACTAGGTGTCCAGTTTCTTGAGCCTTAGCCATGGCTTCCTCCCACTCTTTTGAATCCTTATATGAAAACTTGGTGTTGTTAATAGCAATAATTTCATCATCTACTTGTAGCTGAGAAAATTCTGCTGGGCTACCTAAAAATACAAAATAAATTAATCAATTGGGGCAAAAATCCCACATGTTCTATTAGTTGCTGCTTTGAGCTTAAGAAAAATGACTCTGAATTTTAATTAACCATTTCTCTCTTTTTCAGGTGGAGAAGGGTCACTATTTTTTTAATATCAAATATCTGAGTACAACATACAAAGCATTAGAGGTGTTTTTTGAAGTTCTATAGAATGCATCTTCATTAAAGGAAAAATGATAAACTAATGTATTCAATAAGACTTCTTTATTAACCTCCCAAGGACAAAAAATTTAAGTTACTCTTAAATTTGAAATATGAAATATACTGCATTTTAATTGAGCCTCCAAATCAGATACATTCTGGAATGGAGCAGAAGATAACACAGCTATTTAAAACTGCTTAAAATTACTCCATAACTAAAATACCATTATCTAATTAAGGCAATCTTAAGATGTAAAAGAACTAACTGGTGTTAACATGCAATTTTATATAGCTAAAATATGTAAAAAATAAAAAATAAAAGTAAAAATAAAGGAACTCCTCTTTTTAATTTTAGACTTTGTAATGTTTTGAAGAAAGTTCCCGGGCTTGACATGGTATAGACCTGGATCGGGGAGGGGTAATCCTTTTACAGAAGTCCTGAAGCATCCTGAAGACGTCATGGGCAATATTAGAACACTCAAAAAAATCAACGTATTAAATAGCACATATACATTTACTACAAAGCATGGCTGATCGTGGAAAGTTCTTTCTGAATCTTTACTTAAGTGCTGTTTGTTAGCATTTCCAAATATAAAGTCCAAAATGGACAAAATCTGTAAAATCACAAAGACTTTCAAAACTAAAATTAATTACTCAAGGAGAATAAACAATATGGAATTTGGAAACACAATAATCTCAGGAAAGAGGATGTATTTTCTGGCCTTATGGTTGTATTTTTCACAGGTTTTCTTCTCCTATATCAAATACGCTAATTTCTGTGGTCCCCAACCCCACAATGAAAGATGAAAAAGGAGAAGAAAATTCAGTAGAGCTAAATATATCATTTACCTGCTTCAACTGATGCTACGAAGATCCCAGGAATATCCCATTTTATTGTAAACCCAAAGTCAAGACTCTTCCCAGGCGTCTGGTTTATGCTGATTCTCATATCACTGAACCGATCCTGAAAACAAAACATGAAACCTGGTATCCAGTGTCTCTGGCACCCACATGGAGGAAAGTCTATCCATGAAAGGAGGGAGGCTGCACGCTAGGTATACTTGAATCATTTCATGATAAACTAGAAGCTTCATTCTTTCTTCCTTGGGTTGGTAAAACTTTCATTTATATAAATAGCACCGAGTTTATTATTTTTCTGCTAAAATAAGGAAAATCTTATTGTTATTACATGTTTTTCTTCATATTAATACTTTAAATTGGTTGGCCATGGATAAGCTTAGGTTTCTGCCCACTGTACAATTGAGTCTAACTTACAGGCCACACCATTTATTCACTGCCCAGGAATAAAGTACAGTGATTTAAATCATTTATTTGAAAAGGACCACCATACTTTTAAAAACCTACTCCCAATACTTGGCATATTTTCTGAATAACTTCAAGTGGTTCACAGACACATAATTTAGCCTCCAGTGGCATCCATCTAGGACTGGTACCACTCCCTCGTGGGTATGTGAAGTTCAGCAAGGTATTCTGCTTGCCCAAATGCCACATGAAGATTTAGTGTTAAAGGCATAGCTGCTATACATGCTGCAAAATGCAGAACTATGTCACCTGTAAGGAATTACTCCCTAAGATACCACGAGTGTCCCTATTGACACATTCTGAGCTACAGTCCATGACTTCTTCAAAATAACATCAGCTCATAAGCCCCCAAATAACCTCTTGGACTAAAGGTATAATTATTCCCATTGCTATCACTATACTACACTACAAATCCTAAATTCCAGGGAACTTAAATTATTTTCTAAACCAAATGTTTCAAGTTTTACAGTATACTATGTCTGTGCAAACCTTAATTTCTCTTGTAATTTACATATTTTGTTTTGAGGAACCAACAAATAGATTTTAATATGAATTTATGAGACCAGTGTTTCAGCTTTGTTTCCTAATCACAAAAAAACTTAGACTTACCTGTTACAATTCTTCCTAAACCTGTTTTACTTTCCAGGAAAAGACCTACCAATTCTCCATTTTAACTTGGCAGTTAAACCTAACTCAGGAACCAACTGGGCAATTCATAAAGCTTTCTGCCTAACGTTTTTTACCCATAAAACAAGTAGCAATATTCTGAGAAATATTAGGATAGTACGTACTATGGTGTGGATGTGATTTGTCGCCACCAAAACTCATGTTAAAATTTAATTGCTAATGTGGTAGTGCTGGAAAGTGTTACCTTTAACAGGTGTTTGGGTCATGAAGGATCTGCCCTCATGAAGGAATGAATGCAGTCTCATGGGAGTAAGTTCTCACTCTAGCAGGACTGAATTAGTTACCACAAGGGCAGGTTATTATAAAGTGAGGTTGCCTTGTGTTGGGTCTCTGCACACACCATTTGCCTATCTGCTTTTCCACCATGTTGTGACACAGCACATGGTGCTCACCTGAAGCCAAGCAGATGTTGGTGCCATGCTCTTGGACTTTCCAGCCACCAGAACCATGAGCCAACTAAACTTCCTCTTTTCTTTATAAATTACTCAGTCTCAGGTATTCTGTTATAGCAACATTAAATGGACTAAGTACACAAGAATTTGAAGGAAGGCACTGAATAAACAAAGGATCGAGAATTCACTACTCTATATGGACAAGCAGAAGTATTACGACATTTCACTCATTCAACCATTTGACATACATTTATTGTTTACTCTGTATAAAAAAAACACAATACTTAGCACTTTGGGAAATAAAGATAAATTAGGGATGATTCTTGCTCTCAAAAACTAATTGTTGATTTTTCAGTGGGTATGGGATTTTTAGCTTTCAGCGGAAAGCTCTTTGTAAAGCAGTTTAAACATGGAAATGCAGATGTAGTCATAACACTCGTTAATAACCACCTGATGAATGCCAATCTGAAGAATATAATAAAATTCTGCTAAGAATAGCAAAAACTACTGGTTGGTTCTACTCCTCAGCCAAAACCACCATACACTTAAGTTAGAGATGACTCGGTGAAAATGAGTGGTCATCTTCACCACACTTACAAAAAAAAATCTGACTTAGAGCCAATTAAAGTGCAGAATCTATTTCCTATATAAGGAAGACAGACAAAGAGACAAATCATGGGTTATACATTCAAAACACTGATGTTTTATAGCTTGAAGAATAAAAGACAGGATGGAGTCTTAATAAACACTCTCAAACTACATAAAGAATATGTTGTGGGAGATGGCAAGTGAACATTATCCTTTTCTACCAAATATAGGATCACAGAGAATGAGCTTAAGCCCTAGAGGAAAATGTCTCACTGTTATATTAGATTGGAAATACTATCTCATGAAGGATTGTACTTACCTCAGAAATAAAGAAATCACTATTTAAACATCTTAAATATTAATAAAAGGGCAGATAACCTCCTCCTCTTTGAAAGAGTTAACAGGAAGGACAGCGTCCCTGTGGCTACAGCCAGGCAAAGTGTTGTGTCAGTCCTTGAGACACAATGCAGGCAAAGAGGAGAGGACCACATGGGCAATTACAGGTGCATATCTGTCATTAACCAGGTGACCACAGGCATGTCACTGGGACTGGTAAAGCCTTCTCTTTCATAAAAATACTGCTTTTTAATTTTGGTTTTAAGTAGCCTACTTTCAAATCAAAGTCTTACGCAGACCACCTCTTTCCAAACCACTATACAGAAAGGATTAAAGTGGGTGGCTGTGGTTTCAAAGTAAGAGTTCCAGAGCCCCACTTGTGTAGCCTTCCCCTCACGGCAGTCTCGAGGCATCTATGTCCAATCCCCAGTTCTTATAGCAAATTATTCCTGAAACTTCTTGCAAGTGAACATATCTATAATTACATTCAAGTATAAATTGTTCAACAGTGATTTCAGGAAGGATTTCAACTTCCTTATTTTTCCTTGCAAGGTATATGCCAAGTGAGTATCCTACAAAGAATCCAAGCTTCAGAAGATAATGATGACAGAATCATCTTTGAACTGGATGGAACAGGAATACAAATTATTGGGGGAAACCTGGATTCCTGAAGACTGATAATGAACTATCCAAGTGGTTTCAGTTGTTCATGCCAGAAAAGATAAGGCAGTTGTCTACTATCATCTCAGCATATAAGATAAAAAATTTCCCTCAAATTAGGTATAACTTGAGCAGACGTATCCACTGAAAATTCAGATTGCCCCAACAACTGTCAGACTGATGAAACAGAAGTACAAGACTCTACATTTTTAAACAAAAACATGAGGAGGTTCTGGAGTCCCAATGGTAACTCTTATTTCTGCTAAATCTGTTGAATTAAGATTTTCATGTCAACATAGATAGAATTTAATTTAAAAAAAAAAAAGGGGCCAATCTTAACAACAAATCGAAAAGCTACACTTCTCGAATTTTTCCTATTAGACAAATGTGTTAAGGAAAGCCTACTTAGCTGATAAAGTTAACCTTAAAGTAAATCTGGACTGTAAAATCAGGAATATCAGAGGAAATCTATAATCTTTGAATCTGTGTACATATAGTTCTTTAGTGTCTTTCTTTCTGAGTCTTACTGGAATGAGAAAATGAAGTGAGTAGCCCTCAAATCTTGGTCTTCCTCTCTAAATCCTTCTCCATCTCTCCTTCCTTCATCCCACTGTGGCAGGTAGTGTTTCTATAATACGCCCACCACTGTCCTCATCCCATTCCAAGATTATCTTCTACCTACCAAATAACATCTTGAGTCTTCAACCCTCCAGGCACTGCCCACTATTCTTGCTTTCTAGGAAACAGTCTTCGAAAGTCACTTATTATCTTGCTTTCTCCAGCCTTTTTTCCCATGTCTCTTGCCACTTCTCAGTTTCATTAGCATGTTCCTCTTTTTTCTCTTCTTTTCATTGTGTTATTTGTTCCTTAGTCTCCAACCTCTCTGACTACATGCTTTTGTGAGCAACCTCACTCACTGCCATGCCTCCGATGTCTAAGTCCAACAATTCAAAAATTGAACTCATTATCTTCCTCCTAAACCTGTTCTTGCGCCTCTTGTTTCTCATATTTTGGTTAATTGCATCAATAGCTCATCAGGTGCCCAAGTTAGAAACATTGGATTCTTTTGGGGCCTCTTTTTCCTTCTTTCCCCTAACTGTTCCCCAGTCGAATGCCACACAACAATCCCTGTACCCCTACTCTCCACCATACACATTTGCATTTTACCAGGTTCTGTCAAGTCCACAATCCATCTTGAATCATCCCATCTTTGCCACCCTCCCTTGTGTTATCATCTTGGTTCAGGCCATGATCTCCCCTAAACTCCTGTGGTTACCCCTCCTAAGTGGCTCTCTTGCCTCCAGCCCTTATTTTGTTCATTGTCCACACAGCTGCCAGAACTTTAGTTATAGAACACGCTATTCTATCACACTCCATTTTTAAATTGCTGGTAGCTCCTTACTGCCCTACTTGGAAGATTTCAAACTCTACATTTCAGTTCTGGTAAGTTTCAATAAACATGTAATACCACCTTTCCTCAAAATGGTTTCAAGGATGATTTTATCTTTATAGACCAAAAGACATTTCAGTTCCCAGTGGCTCTAAAATTCTAAAGACACAGCAAAGTCCAAATAAGTCAAAATGTGGTCTCTTAACTATACATAAGGCAGTCCTCAAATGCAAGCCTGTCGTATTTCAAAAAACTTTAACATCAGATAAATTACAGTTGTGGTGTAGGCATTTCACCAGCCTGGGACAGGTTACATAACTTTCAAATCTCATGTACTTCACTGGTAAAAATGGGATAATACACCTACTTTGCAGGGTTATTGAGATGATTAAATGAAACATTTAAAAGGTGTCAAGGCACACACGACTGATGCCCAGTAATGGCCTTCTTTTTCTTTTTCCAATGGAAGCAAATGTTAAACATAATACACATGCTGGCTAAGCAGTTTCTGGATCAATTAAAGAAAATCCCATTTAATTCTCACATACTTAGCTCTAAAGCCAAGAAAATTCGGTCAGCATTCAGCAAACAAGTACAGATGCAGGCACTGCACTGACAGTAAGAAAGGTAGGGTTGTATTCTACCCTCATGGAGAGCAGGTGCTAGTGAAGGTGAGAAGCAAGCAAAATGCACCGTATGAAGCTATGATAAGGGAAGTTCTGGCTACTATGTCCAAAGGGGCAGTAATCATAGGGTTGAGATCAGGAAACGGACATGCAGAAAGCTTCCTTTCTTCCATACGTGTCATCCCGTTTGGGGGTTACTGCCTTAAAAGGTCTGGAGCAGAGGTTCTAGAAAGAAGATTTGTAGAGGGCTTAAAAATATAGAGCTCTGAGGCTGGGCGTGGTGGCTCATGCCTGTAATCCCAGCACTCTGGGAGGCCGAGGTGGGCAGATCACAAGGTCAGGAAATCGAGACCATCCTGGCTAACACGGTGAAACCCTGTCTCCACTAAAAATACAAAAAAATTAGCCAGGCGTGGTGGCGGGTGCCTGTAGTCCCAGCTGCTGGGGAAGCTGAGGCAGCAGAATGGCATGAACCTGGGAGGCAGAGCTTGCAGTGAGCTGAGATCACGCCACTGCACTCCAGCCTGGGTGACAAAGCAAGACTCCATCTCAAAAAAAAAAAAAAAAATAGAGCTCTGAAAGGACAGAAAATAAAACAGAAACTTGTAAGCAAGACCAACTTTGGGGAGAATCATGAAAACCACATCTGCATGGCAGATGGAAGGGGATGAAGGACCTCAGGGGTCACACTCCCTCTTCCCTGTCTGGGGTCACCTCCAGAATGAGTTTGGCAGCCCAGATTGGCAAGAAAGGTAGAGAAAAAAGCAAAACCACAAGAAAAGAAATGGGGCAAAAAGAACAGCAAGGGACAAAACCCCCAGCTCAGCTATGAGGATGAAAAGGAAATTCCTATCAGCAGATTTTAAATAAGACCATATTAAGTTCTTCCCTTCATTATGATTTTTCTACTTTATGGCATGCAGCAACTTAGCTTTCCTAAAATAACTCTAGGGAACACCATAGTGCTTACATTCCTTAATCTTAAAATTCCCACACTAAAGAACCGATAAGGACTCTGGATTACCTGCCGGATCAAGTTCATACTTCAGCCTAGTAATCAAGGCTTTGGATGCAGTTCAAGTCAGTAAAACTTAAGGGTCAATTACGTGTAAGAATGTACAAAGAATACCAGTGAAGGAGGAACAGGTAACTACATGGGACAAGGAAGAATTCAGTGAGTGAAACTTTTCAAGGGTAAGAAGTTTGATTCCAATGGGGGAGGGGTGATATCTTGATTCAAGAACGAAGTGGTCCTCCTGGGCTTTTGAGGAACAATAGGACCTCAAAAGGCAGAGATGTGGGAAATAAGCATCTTCAAATGGGGAAGCAGTGATGTGCTCCAAAAAGTACATGATGTATCCAAGAAAAAGTAAGCAGCCTTATGCAGGTGAATCATCTTTCTTTCCCAGGACATAGCATGATAGCATAACATGATACTAAATCCTGAGTCAGACTGCCTGGATTCAAACACTGACTCCACTTGGTACCCTGCATGGCCTTGGACAAGTAACATGCCCATGCCATGCCTCAAGTTTCATGTTTCTAAAATAGGGGTAATCATGACAGTCCACATTCGGATTGTTGATTACTTCACAGGGCTGCTGTGAGGATTAACTAAGATACTGCCCTGAGAAGCCTGGTTGGTACATAGTAAGCACGCTAACATCAGCTGTGACTGTGCTACAAAGGGCGTGAGAGATATCACTGCTTCCCTGAGCGCCACAAACTTCATTCAGCAAACCACACAGTGCCGCTAGAGGCTTTGGAGCAGAGAAATTACTGAGTCCAACCTGGCATCAGGCAAGTTAATCTGATGCCAGTCTTGTGTAGCATGTACTAATACCTGTGACCATTTGCACTGATAGGAAAAGGGCCTGAATTAGCATAGTGGAAGCCAAGATAGAAAAGAATAACATCAGCTGGGCGTAATGGCTAACACCTGTAATCCCAGCACTTTTCGAGGCCAAGATGGGTGGATCAGGCCTAGGAGTTCGAGAGCAGCCTGGGCAACATGGTGAACGCCTGTCTCTACAAAAAAATACAAAAATTAGCCAGGCGTCGTGGCATGTGCCTACAGTCCCAGCTACTCAAGAGGCTAAGGTGGGAGGATTGCTTGAGTCCAGGAGGTTAAGGCTGCAATAAGCCATGATCATGCCACTGCACTACAGCCTGGGCAACACAGCAAGATCCTATCTCAAAAAAAAAAAAAAAAAAGAGAAAAGAATAACATCAACGGGGGAGTCTGGAGGAAGAGACGAAAGGACAGTGCCAGTAAAAGTCCAAGATATGAAAGAGAAAAATGACCTGAAGAACATTCTTCCACAGAGCTACCGAAACATTTATGATCAGCCACAAGCTACTCTTGATTTTGCTGTCCTCTGAACACCTAGAGTTATAGTGTCTGAATGGAGTTTGGGGGAGTGTTGCACAGGCCCTTTACAAATTGATCAGCAGCTGTCACACACATTCACATCCTTCTCTCAAGTCAGTAAGCTCCTTCTGAGACAAAGGCAAGGGCATGCTATAGAAGCTACTGCCCTAGTGGCGCAGAAAAGGACACACCAAGCATCAGAGATATGTAAGTCACCATATGAATTATATCTACATTAAAGAATTCCAATGGCTTCACTTATCAAATCAAGCCTAATTTTTCTTGGTGGAATACCATCTCAGGTTTGCGAACAAAGAAGTATAAATCCATTAATGATGAAACCTGAAACAGTGCCACATTAATTGCAGCTCCCTCTGAGTTGCAATAACCTGAGACACACCCAGGCACCACACTTAGCCTCTTTTCCTTAATCCACAGTTGCAGTTAGTCAGCTGCCACCCTGAGAAAGGCACCAACACCCAGCGTGCAGCACGTGATTCAGGCCGTTTTGTTGAATTTGCTGTTTGAAAAAGGTAAAGGCAAACATACAAATCCGTGAAAGAAAAGGCACTTTGCTTCTGCTTTTATTATTCATCCACTGGTATCTTATGTTCCCCAAGTATAATACAGGCTATTGTTCTCCTCCACTGAGACTTAGGAAGCTAATTATATATTTCCAATTCCTTAAAAAATGTAATGATAATTTACAACTCATTATTTCAGGAAGCTGAAGAAATTGTTTTTAGATATATGTCTGTAAATATGCATGAGGAAAAAAAAACAAAAGAAATATACCTAGATGTTAACAGTGATTATCTCTAAATGATGGAATTATCAGCAATTTAAATTATTTATACTTTCCTGCATTTCCAAATTTTCTCAAGCACATAGTACCTTATAACCAGAAAAGAAAGTTTAAATGTTTTAAGTTTTCCCATACAAATAAAAACTCAATAATAATAAATATGCAATGCCAAATTATTTCACATCAAGTTATTTCATTAATATAACTTAGGACAAGTCATATATACATACACACACACACACACACACTAATCTAACTTAGGACAAGTCATATATACATATACACACACACACATACACACACAAATACTAATATAACTTAGGACAAGTCATATATACACACCCACTTAATGTATATAATACACAATTAATGTTTTTCAGGGCAACAAAGAATACTAAACCAAGCCAAAGAACCACAAAAGCTCCATGCTAAGGGGTTCATACAACTATCAAAATGCTTAGCAAGAATTTTTCTGAGAGAAGTTTTCTGTTATCCAAAGACTTTTGGCATGTTTTACAGGTAGGCTACAAAGAACATTTATTACCTAATCATTCTCTCAGAAGTCATCTATTAGAAATTTAAGTAGGAAAAACTACACATGTCATTCTTCATCTGATGGTATATTTTGTTTGGACTCCAAATGTTGTGGAATACAATTGTCATATTATAACTAAGCCTCGATAGTCCCATTCGGAGATAAGGAAACATCGAAAATTATAGACATTCTAAAGTATAAAATAGTACTAAAAGTCACTAGAAGGTTAAAATTATCCAAAAAGAAATGCCATGTACCTAGAGGCCAGCACCTATCATGTGCATCAATTTTTCCTTGTGGCCAGTTAAGTTCCCTGGGAAAGGGCTTCTGTCACCCATATATACACTAGATCTGCATCTAAAACCTTCAAAGTGACTACTGTACCTGAAACCTGGGACTACTGGGCACTAGCAGTATAAGGCAACCACTACTGAAACGTGGAATACAGAGAAAACACCAGCCAAATCTCCAAAGGAGACTGGTGCACAAAGTCTCCACACACTCACATCGCAAGTGTTATCTGGATCTATGCACTCAGAGTGGAAAGACACCTACTTCCTCCAAGATCTGTTCAGAGTAAACCAGAATGTCATTTTGCACATTTTCAGCCCAGATTAACACCTAGAGGTTTGACGTTTGAGACATGGTTTCCAGATTTAAATGCGTAAGTGTCTGAGCGACAGATGATAAAGAACTTTCCCAAACTCACCTGGGATCTTGAGACTTCTCTTTGGGGGGAGATTTCCCCTTCTCCAGATTCAGACATTAAATCAAGACCAGATGTGGAAGACAGTGTGGCTTTAGAAGTGGCAGCCTGGTCTTGGGAAAGAGATGAGAAGGGGGATGTAGGAGAGGGCTGCCTTGTCACATCTTCTTCTGTTGCTGCTACCTCTCTCTGGCTAGATGAGCTTGAAGCCAGTTGGCTTGCATCCGAGTTTGGTGCAGGGGTGCTGACCACATTGTTTGGAGTTCTCTTAATGTCTTCAACATCACCATTATACTTCCAAGCATCATCCATCTAAATAAGAAAATATCATTTTAAACTTGATATTCTGTTACATTTCTGTTTTTAAAAGTTGTTTATTAAATTAATTTTTTAAAACTAAAATAGCATACCACCCACAGTAACATAACTATTACTAAACGCTTGGGCTGAGTTCTTTCACACCGATAGATAAACACACATGTAGTGGGGGAAATTGTTTTAGAAAAAGCATTCATATCACATACAAACTTCTGAAATTTGCTTTGCTTGTTTACTCCAAGCAAACATCTTAAGCATTAAATTTCCACTGAATCTAAACTGGCGTAAAACAAAAATTTGCCATATATACATGTGTTATGTGCAGTTTACACATCAAGATGGTGTAACTCTAACCTCTGCACAAGCTCACCAACATTTTGCTCTTCAGAACAGACTAAATGAACTGAGAACATGTTTTACCATGTAAGATCTGGGGAGTGATGAGATTCCCCTTTGCTGAGAGCCAAAAGGCCTTGGTGTTCTATCTGCTGATCACTCCAGGTCAACAGATAGAACTCTAAACCAGTCCCTTTACTTGCTGAATATTCCATAGTATGGACATCAACAATTTATTCATTTGATGTGAATTTAAAGTTGTTTGAAATGTTCTGTCACTTCCAAAACTACTGCAACAAATATCCATATCTCTTTGTAATTGGAACTTCTATTTTTATAGCACAGACTTCCAAAAGTAGGCTTGTTGGAGCAAAAGTTTTATATATATATATATATATATATATATATAGTTTCTAAAAATAATTGTAGCAACATACTCCAGAAGTAATGTATGAGAACATCTGTTTCTCAGCATCCTTGCCAACACTAGACATTTTCAATGTTTTAAGTCTATATCACGCCGATGGGTAAAAAGTTATACGTCTCATTCTTGCTCCAGGGAAGCTGAACATACTTCTTTGTGCTTTGTTACCAGCCATTTGAATCCCTTCTCCCTTGAACTGGCCACTACTTCTCTATATTCATTTTGCTAGTGTGTTTGCTTACCAATTTGTAGAAGCATTTTCTATCTTAGAGATACTAACTCTTTATCTATCATATATTTTAATAATATTTTTCTGAGTCTATATATTGTCTTTTGACTATATTAAGGAAGTCTGCCATAAAATTCTTATAATGTCAAATATGTCTACATTTTCCTTTATATAATGGTCAGGAGTTTCCCAATTAGTTTAGGTAGGCTTCTCTCACCCCAAATATCCAATTTTTTATACCCTTTTAGAGTTTAGGATTCTACATTAGCAGAGCTAAAAAGAATTTGAACATTAATCTTAGCACTGTGTTGCTTCCTTTCACATAATTCAGATTAGCACACTCATTGTTGGATATGGTACCACTTCATTCTCAGAAAAAAAATGCCGCAATATTCTACATCCTTCAAAATCCTGATATTAATAGAAATGCATACATATAAACAGTAAGACATTCAAACTGATAAAGTGAGAAATCTGAAAAAAGCAGAAATGTGTACATATGCACCTGAAAATCTCTAGGCTAAACTACATGAAATGCTGTTTTATAGGTCAAGAAGAACAATCATACTGACAACTTCATACTTTTCAACCTAATACTTTAGAAAAGGTACATCTAAAAAAATGACATTATAAAATAATACTCTGCCTTAGAATATATCTTCTTCATTCTTTAAAATGTATCAGCCATACTTTCACATAATTTAAAGTTTAGTAAATTCTGTATAATTGATCTATCTTAAGCATTAAGTTTCCATTGCATCTAAACTGGCATAAAATAAAACGTCATTATATATGGCATGTACAGTTTATACATAAAGTTGATGTAACCCCAACCTCTGCACAAGTTCACCAACATTTTGCTCTTCAGAACAGACTAAATGAACTGAGAACATTTTTTACCGTGTAAGATCTGGGGAGTGATGAGATTCCCCTTGTCTGAGAGCCAAAAGGTCTTGGTGTGACCACAGATGTTAACCTGACTGTATCAGTTTTCTGGTAACTTCTGGGGAGAGAAGCTGAAACACGAGTCGACTCCATTTGTGTGCTCAGTGAACGCAGAGAAGACAAAGAGGCTGGGCGTTGTTCTTCCACAGGACTTTGAGAAGGAAGCTGAATTTCAGTTGTTACACTGTTCTCTCTTTTTGCAAAAGTTGTAGAATCTTCTTTGAGAATTTCTGAAGGATAAGTTGTTCCCTTCTCTTCTACTCTCTCACTCCGGTAACTTGCTTCTGACACAGTCAGTGTAGGGGGTCGTTTTTCTTCATCCAGCACATCATCAAAAGAATACATTCTTCTTCTCGAAGGAACTGTAGACTTTTGATTTTGGGATTCCCTTAGCAGAAAGAAATGCACCATCACCACAAAGATATGCATTTGACACAGACAGGTGGTAAGAGAGTAATCAACAGATGAAATGGACTGGGAATAAAAAGCTGCTAACCTCACACAAGAATCAATACAACACTTACAGAGCATAAAGATACATATAATTTTTTTTCTTTTTTTCTTTTTTCTTTTTTTCTTTTGAGACTGAGTCTCACTCTGTTGCCCAGACTGGAGGGCAGTGGCGTGATCTCGGCTCACCTGCAACCTCCATCTCCCGGGTTCAAGCAATTCTCCTGCCTCAGCCTCCCAAGTAGCTGGGATTACAGGCATACGCCACCATGGCCGGCTAATTTTTTTTGTATTTTTAGTAGAGACGAGATTTCAATACATTGGCCAAACTTCTGACCTCTCAAACTCCTGACCTTGTGATCCACCCACCTTGGCCTCCCAAAGTGCTGGGATTACAGGCGTGAGCCACCACGCCCAGCAAGATGTATATAATTATCTTTAATGTCCCAACCAAGAAAGAATAATAACTTGACTTCTTTAATTAAAAAGGTTCTCAAATACTTCACTGGGATATTAATTGTAAAGAGATTTTTAATGAAACAAGGAAATTTTAATAAAGGATTATTCACAAAATTTTATCCACAAGCTTATAACTTTCAAAATTAAAACACTGTAAATATCATGACTGACAACTAACTTGAATCTTCCAAAGTTGTGGATTAATTGGCAGCCTTGTGAGGATATTTTCCTGCAAAAATTTATAATAATTTAGTAAAAATAAAAGATTACAAAAGACCCAGGCTTTTGTGGAGATCAAACTAGTGTATGATTTCATATAGCTTGACAGAACTTGCCAGAACAATTACTAGGGATTAAAAGTCACCATTCGTATTTATGGGAAGGTTCATGAAACACCCTCATCTCTCACATTTAGAAAGGAATACCCACCTCCCAAGCTAACTGAATTGCATCCAAATGAATGAAACTGCTTATCATTCGCCTTTAGGGCAGAAAGCAGGTTTGTTTCATTTCACCTGATAGTGTATTTCCTTTTTGGTATGATTCTAAAAGCATATTTTCCTTTTCTTCGACCTGTAAATATCCTAATATTTCACAGAATAATGAATGCTTTACAGGAAAGTTTAAATTTAACCTTTATACTGTTACGCTGCAATGCAAAGAGTAAGTAAAACACACACAATTATGTTTATTAAAACTTTCTTTAAAATATAATGAATTGCACTATTAAACATGAAAAAGAACTTTGTTATGTTTTACACAATTTAGTTAAAAGTAAGCTGATTTTATTGGAAGACCTCATTCCTTAATTCACTTAAGAGTATAAAGCAGTGTATTTCCTGCACCCAACATAGCCAACACCATCCAATTCTGCATGTGAATGCGCAATGTAAGAGAAGAAATAATGAACACCTATTTTAAGTCCTCATTTATTTTGTTACTCTAAGTCACTATTTCAACAATGCTTTGTTTTCTCACTGCAGACCAAAATCTTAAATGTTTCTTTGCGTATTTGATTAAAGTTGAATATTGGTGGACACTTATGTCACACTACACTTATACAAAATACCTATTTATAACACTGGCGTCTCCAACCCTGTTACAACCGAGGTGCATTCAGCAATATTACCTGTCCTGCAGCATTTCCTTAAACGTCTTAGAGCTTCTCTCAGACTTCTCAAGTGCCTGCTTTTCAATTTCTTCCCTTTCTTCTTTTTTCTTCTGCAGATCTGAAGTGTAACTTTTTCGACGATCTTTCCATTTTGCAAGGTCCTGACAGAAAAATCACATCAGCAGGGGCACACCTGAATTTCTACACACCCTTTCTAGCAGCCAGAATGTGCCAGAGTATCTTATTACATCACTGAAACTATTCGCTCCAACTGGGTGCCAAGGTGCCCTAATTTTGCTTTTTATAGCCAGCGTTTCTGTACCAAGCCTTTATCTCATGTGTCTGTCTGAAAAACCTGACCTAATAAGATAGACCCCATTTTAGTTTTCCCAGGAAGTATCTGCCTCATTGCACACTTCACAAAGAATGCTAAATGCTTGTAATTAGGTGACAGTTAGTTAGATCAGGAACTGTTTCCAATTCGTTTTCATCTCATTCCAAAAACCTGGCTGTTCTGCGAAACAACATGTTTCACTGGTAAGGCCGAAACAGAAACGCGATTGTGATGGTTAAGCGCAGATGCACAGTCTGTCTTTCATTTCACAAACAGAGCTCAGTCCCTACTTTGAGGCAGGCCCAAGTGTAGGAACTATTAATACATACATGCATAGGGCAGGGTTCCCCTCAAGAAACTCTCGGTCTACAGGGGAGAGTCAGATATATAAATAAAAGTTCAGTAACAAGTGTGACAGGATTGCATGAGACAGTGGGGTCCTAAGGAGACCATGGGTCTGGTTCTACCTCCGGAAGGGGAGGCTTTGGAAAGGCTTTAACTGGGAAGGCGAGACTTGAGTATGTGATTTCAGAAGGGTTAAATCCTCCTAGGTCAGAGCAATAAGGAACATGCGGCAGGAACAAACCAACACCTGTCCCCCATATCCCCAGGAATGTTAAGTCTAACCTTGCTGGGTGACCCCGGGGACAATCAACCTAATTCAGCTTTTCAGTTCTCCCCAGAAACCTAGGCTGGTTCTGAGACCCAGGGGGTTAAGACATTTTGCAAGGTATAAAGTTTTCCATGTCTCCAAAATAGAGAGCTGCTCGGAACTGTTAGTGGCATTCCAGTCCAAACAGAAGCACATTCAAGGTCTCAGACAAAACCGAATTTCACCCCCAGGGCATGCAAAGTACATTTGGTTTATACCCCTTGCAAGCCCACAGAGCCACTCCTGCTTTAAAAACAGCCTGTGACCAATATGAAGTCCTTCCAGAAAGAACAAAAGCAATGCGCATTGAGTCCTACAGCATAACTGGCATGAATTTTTATCTGATTTAACCTAACACATAAGCCCTTAATACTTACTTTCACACCAGAAAATTCACCGTGTATTTTGGCAAAGTGATGTTGAATTACTGTTTCTTGACAATTAAATTGAGTTCCCAATTAAAAGAGGCACCAGAATTTAGAAAGGTAGCCAGGGCAGAGGTTTCTTCATTTCAGAGACTATTAATTCCTTTGAAAATTAAGATTTACTTTGACTCCTTTGTTCATGCTATTGCTCAACTCTCATCATAAAGTTGTCCTCAAATTTCTTTGGGTTTGCTCTGATAGTTTGTCTACTGTATTTCTTTGCATTTCTTCAGTTTATCACAATTATTCTATTCAAAAAATGGTCAAGCTTTTTTTCTTCAGGATCAAAACTAAAGAGTAAGTCTATATCTATATAAACACCTGGATATATGTCAACTCTGCAAAAAACATTTCATTTTGATTCATATTACTGACTTCTTCAGCCAAAATATTGCTCTGAGTTATATTACTTATTTCTCCCCAAATCTCCCTAATTAACTCTTAATTACTAACCCTTTTCATCTTTCCTTACTGATGCCAAGGTCTCTGCCAGAACCCTGTTCCTCTTCTCTCCCTAAACTTTGGCCAGGTCTTTCCCATCAGAAGTATAGTTAATGTGCATATCCTAAATTCAACCACCAAAACAAGTAAGTAAGTTCACCATACTGCAAGGAAGCAACTCACATTTTTGAGAACTCGGAGAATATTAGAAAATAAACATTCAGGTATATTTTTCACAATGGCCTTTAAAATATGCAACAATAATAGGAAAAAAAAGGTTTAAAAATCTTTGTAAAGGAAGTTGGTCACATTTTATACAGAACTGAATTCTGTAATAGCAAGGAAATGGTCTTGGGTACATAGACTTTAAGGGAAGCAAAGAAAAGTCAAACAAATACACTCTCCCTCCTGCTACCCCCAAAATACTCACATCCTGCCATTTCTGATCTTGTTCTTTTAATTGTGATTTTATTTTCTGCATCTCCTCGTAACGCAGCTGACGCAAGTTTTGAACATCCTCTGCGCTGACATCGCTCATGGACTTACTCCTACAACAAAAAGACTCATGGTTACCACAGAAGTTCACATGACCAGACTTAGGGGTTAAACTGAGGTTGGACTTATATTTGGAAATTCCACCTAAATTTCTACCGAGACACTTCAGTGATAGTGTCACAGAAGTAGTGCTACAGAGATAAATGGTGTTTTTCCAAAACTCAGAAACAAGAGCCTAGCACTCGAGTGTGAATTTTTTCACAAAATGGCTAGATTAGCCCTATACAAGTCTCGAAAAAACTCCCCAAGGTTCATATTTAAAGAGGTCAATGCATAAAAGGATTACTTTAGGAAAAAAACAGTCACTGTCTTTATTTTCTATCTCCTTCAAAGATAATCTGTTGAGGTTTGGCTGCCTTTTCTGGGCACTCATTAATAATTTAAAGTTTACCTGATATTTTTCTCCTCAAGTTCAATACCATGAATAAATGTGCTGCTGATTCTAAAAGATTCTATAAGATCTGCCCTACCAGTGCACTAGACTTGTTCTCAAAGCACCACAGATAGTTTCTAATAGTCCTTTATAACTACCTCTATAACCCTCTTCTTCTATTAGGGCAACTTGCACACATTCAACTTGTAACACAAGGATGGACTGAGGTTAAGCTTTGGAAGAGCTCAATCCACAGTAGAAACCAATGAACAGAGTGGCGTGTTGGACACAGGTACACGTGTGCTCTCTACATGCACATAACCAAGAGCCGAGTAAACTATACCAGAGGGGAAAGAGAGATTGAGGGTGGTCTCAAGAAAAGGGAGAGGTCAGATCTAAATACTGAGGAGCAAGTAGGAATGCGAGAAAGAGCCTTTGAAGCTCTTTCCCACTGATCTTTTATACTGCACTCCTGACTTTATTTAAGTAACTGTACACCCCCTGCCTGGGCATCTAAATGTTGCCTTCCAAGATGGTGCCATCATTGTTTCTTTTAAAGCATGTTTGCTCCTAGCTGTTCAGGAATTCCTAGCTTAGCTAGCTCATGGAATTATTATTTCTAAACGATTCCCAATTCCATAATTAAGGAACCAGTCCTCCCTTTGACTCATTTCCAATTGCTTCTTGAATAAATATTTCTGCATGGATATCCCCTAGGCACTTCTTCAATTGGCAAAGGACTGATTGAAATAATATCTAGAAGGGATTTTGTAAACTGTAACTCACTAAATGCATGGTTATTGTTGATGTGACCAAATTCAATCTTGTCCCCAAACCTGCTTTTCCTCTTGTGGTTACTAATGTTGCTACCCGCCCTCCAGTCATCCACATCTGAAACCTAAGAACCACTTTGCACCTTTGTTTCTCCCTTCTCCCCACTTTCCATTAGTTATCAAGTCCTTTCATTCAGTGTCTCTTTCTTTCCATCTCTATTGCCAACACCCTAGATCAGAGTACAGTCAACTCACCTAGACTTCCAAAATGGCTTCTTGAATTAATACCCAAACTCCAGTTTCAACAAACATCTTTCCTAAACTATTTCCTCTGATTCAAAAGCCCTTTACCAGTATACCTAACTTCGTAATTGCCATTCATACCTCAGGACCCCCGGACAGGTATTTCCAACTTCCTATTCATTCTCCACTTGGAAGTCTAATAGGCCTCAGGTTTGTCACAGAAAAAACCTGATTGTCCCCTTCACAACCTGCTCAGCTCTCACTCTCCTTGTATCAGTAAAGGCCACCTCTATCCTTCCCAACATTAGGGCACACATCTTGGAGTCATCCCAGATTCCTCTCTTTCTCTCATATACCGTAACTGGTCCCATCAGTAAATCCTGTCCCTCTACCTTCTAAATGTATCTAGAACACAATCACTTCTTACCACCTCCACCATTACACCCTGATCCAAGTGACTCCTACCTGGATGATTACAATTATTACAATAATCACATCAGCTACCTGGATTATAACAATTATCACATCATCTCCTACCCAGATTATTACAATTATTATAATAATCACATCACATCACCCACCTGGATTACAACAGCCTCCTTGCTTCCACAACTTCCTACCCAACAGCAGCCAGACAGGTCCTTTCAGACTGCACTCAGATCACAGTACACCTCTACTCAGCACCCACTACTTTCTTCCCATTTCATTAGAGTTAAATTAAAGACAGGTTCTTCCAAAACCTAAGAGGTCTGCCATCCCTGGTTCCTACTACTTCTCTGTGCTCATCGGCACCATGCCCCCACTCTCTGCTCTAGCCAACTGGCCTCCCTGCCCTGCTCACACCTCCTGCTTTTCCCCCTGCTCCTCAATCTGCCTGGAATGCTCTTCACCCAGATATCCACATAGCTCCTCTCTCACTTCCAGGCATCTGCTTAAATGTGCCCTCTGTTTTTCCTTCTCTGACCACCTTGCCAGAAACAATAAATGCCCCTCTCCCCTGACCCATCCTGTCCCTAGTCCTTTCTCCTTCATATCATTTCTCGCCATCATGTACATTTATTTACATATCACTGCCTTGCCCTGTAAGATTATAAAGCAGGAATTTTCTGATTTGCTTGCTGGCATATCACCTGTACCTGAAGGGGAGCCCAGCCTGCAGTAGGTGCTTGATAAATGTGTTAAATTAATGATCTAGATAATATTCAGCACTTTGATGAAGTCTTCCCAGCTCATCCATATCAAAGCTGCTCTGTCCCTTCTCTCAACCCCTCTACTGCTTCAGCTACAACTTTATCATGGTACTGAACCCTCAGCCTTATGTCTGTTACAGTGCATGTGTGTCTGTGTGTGCACGTGCATGCTTGGATTCTCTTCCTCACAAGTCGTGTGTTGCTTAGGAGGAAAACTTATTAGCAGCACAAGGCATGCAGGATATACTCATTCAATGTCTGTGGTAAGAATAAGGTAGGTTTTCTAACATTTAATCAAGTAAAATTTACTATACTTAAAATGTTTCTAATTCTTTTTGTAAGATTATTATGGCTATCCACAGTTCTATGAAGAGAGTTCTACAGGATTTATTAAGGACTATTAAGGAATAAATTATATCGAGAGAATATATGAGGACATATATGAATATAGATGGATCTATTAATGTAATATATCTAACTAGGTATGACTACTTATAAAACTGATTTGTGTGAATTTGAGAATATAAATTCACGTAAGTCACACTGTGAAGAATGAGGCTATTTGAACTAATACTATGACAGACTCACTAAGAGGAGGCAGGAAAAATTTTTCAAGAACCAGGCAGGAGGGGTATCTAGACACTCAACACATGAGATTACACAAACTCCAGAACAAACAACAAAAAAAGGGATGCTAATAGTTTAATAATCTTTTGATGGGAGGAAGGCTAGAAGGCCCAGCAGCTCCCAGGGTTGCTCTCCTTTGGCCCTAATCCTTCTACACCAGGCAATGCTAAGGTGTCTTCCCGTGAAATGTGCTTCTCAAGGGCAGAGGCTGCATTCTCCTCCTGGGTGTCCCCAACACGGAGCAGAGCCTGGCACACAGGCAGTCCTTAATGTGAACAAAGTGAACCAAATACACTCTGGAGTAGACAAGTCCCCGTGTAAGGCAGGAATGTGAGCACAGTTCACTCCCTAGGGTAAAAAACAGTTACCCACATTGAGCCTGCACACATTGTATAGCAGCTGGAGCCAGGCACCTCAATGAGCCAGGAGGGGAGGGCTGCAGGCCCAGCTGTGGTGCCAGTTTTCACCCCACCCTAACACACATCAGTTCACTTCCGAGCTCCCATTTCTCACCTGCTAAGTGAGGAAGGGATTGTTATGAGAACTGGATTTGACTGTGTGGGTTGCATTTTTAAAACCTTCTGGGCCATATACTAATTCTCATTAAAGCGAACATGATTGTTTGGAATCTCCCAAAAGCTAACTCTCTAAGCTGCTTCAAATTCGAGAGGTCACCCCAGACCACAGTGATAAAATCCAGAACTTTTGTAGTAGAGGAAGGAGTCTCTCAGGCCAGATCACAAAGAATTCTTCCTTCCCTTATCAGCATTAATGGCATAATATTCAGCTTCTGAGGGCTTACTGTGTGTGCCAGCAACCTCGCCAAGCAGTCTACGTGAATTATCTCAGAGGCAAAGCCCTAGTCCGGTTCTACCACTCACAAGCCACATGTCCTTGGGAAAGCTGCAATATTTGTTTCTCTATCTCCACATCCCTATCTGTTGGCCTCACAGATTTGAGATAAGTACCAGAGATAGCATCAGGAAAATTGTTTGGGAAAACTATGAAGGATTGTGCGGCTCTAGTACATTGTGTTGAATGAAGGATGATTAACTGGCAAATCACATCATATGTCTCTTACAAGTCCTGCTTCATTTGTATTTCCTTATTTGGAAAGGCTCCAATTTAGAACTGCAACTGGAGTTTTTCCAAAAAAATACAGATCTAGCATCTTGCCTTTCTGTTGAACAGAATTTTTTAAAAATAGCATTTAGAAGGAAAAAGAGGAAGTTTAAGGAAGGAGTTGTCAATCATAAACAAGGTTGCTAAAGTCTCACTCTCTTCTCCCACGATGCAGGTTGCCTACTATGCTCCTGGCACTTTTTGGCTAGTTTTAAGGCATTTCCTTTTAGAACTCACTTTCAGGAACTTTACAGGTGAAAATCTAAGGAGTAATGGATCAAAAAGGAGCAGAACGTGGCAGATTTTCTCAAATATAAAATCATGGATAGACTTATACAGCAAACAGAAATTCCATGATACTAGGGTTAAGGTTCCCCAACTTTTGGAGGGAGATAGGAATATACTGATTTATGTACCTCTGAGTGTATTTCCATTAGGTACTACACGAATTCTCTGAAGAGCAATCAATGCTAAAACTTGGGCAAGAGGCTTTGGAATTACCATACACTAGAATAAAAAGTCAATGTGATGAAGATTTTTCATTTACAGATGTATACTCTCAGTGAGGGTTCCTCAGTAGCACCACTGCTGACATTTTGGGGCAAGAAAACTATTTGTTATAGGCACTCCTGTGTACTGTAGGACGTTTAGCAGCATCTCTGGCTATGAAGGCACTAGTTGCCAGTAGCGCACACACTCTCACCCACCCAATGGGACAATAAAAAATGCCTCCAGACATTGCCAAATGTCTCCTGGGGGTGGAGGGAAATCCCTAGAAATAACTGACATTGGCTTTTTTTTCCCTTTCTTTTTTGGTGTCATAAGCCTTTATAATTCTACAGAATCTTTAGGCCAAACCCATAAGTGAAATGTGGGTGACTTAATTGTCTTTTATTACAACTTCATGTGAAATCAGTGTTCATTTCCTATTAACACTGGCAACAGATTCAACAGCTCAATCACATACAAGATTATTTCTACATATTCGTACAACAAATTTTGTCATAAATTGCTTCTGCCAAAACACATGACCAAATTTTCAAGTTTCATGAAACCATACAGACATAAATCCATGCAAGATGAAAGAGCATAGAAGAAATGACTACCACACACAAAGCGTCTTCAAAACAAACAAGCAAACTGACAGGTGTTAAATGCCAAATAAAAAGCAAGCCAGAAATTAACAGTCTCAGACTTCAAAAGATACTGCACATTTCTCTTTAACCCAGTCCTCACAAAAAAGAAAGCACTCATGTTATAGGCAGTTATTTTTCAATGACAGCATGTTGAGCAATAATGGTTTTCCAGGTAACTATGCCAAGCTTGACAACAAACATTATGTTCAGAGAAATATCACCCAGCATAAACATGAAACAGGTTCTAGATTAAAAGCCTACACTTAATCCAACTTAAATTTCTATTTTCTTTTCACTGCAGCAGATCTACTTAAGAAAAGTACCGGTAGGCCAGGCCTGATGGTTCACATCTGTAATCCTAACATTTTGGGAGGCCAAGGCAGGAGGAATGCTTAGGCCCAAGAGCTCAAGACCAGCCTACCAGCCTGGGCAACATAGCAAGACTCCATCTCTTAAAAAAAAAAAGAAAAAAAAAAGCCCTGGTAACTGACAGACTATACAGAAAAATCCTTTGTTATAGATTTGACTTAATTGACTTCAAGTGGTCCAAAACACACTTGAGTTTTCTGAGGACACATTCATATTATAATACTTTCCATTGTTTGACACATCGTGCATTATTCAGTCTCAATTTACAGACAATCTTGCTTTATTTGTGTAGTTACCTTGGCATTGAACTGCATGCAGAACAGCCTTTAAAACAAATATTGTACTATCCGAACAACTATCTTGGGATAGAAAACATTTGCTGCTGTGAGTTCTAATCCAGAAAAATCTTTAGCTTTTCAAGTTTTGGTTTTAGGTTTCTGTCTTCTTTTCTAATTCAGTCATATAATTTACCCCTCACTATGGGGAACACATCCAGCCACTGAAATGGTTGTACATGTTGGCATTCCCAACACATACTTGTACTCTGGGTACTTGTATTCCCTTTAAGAAAAGCAACTATTTCTGAGAGCTGCTTACATTATAAAGTTATATTTAATTTACAAATGAAAATTTTTCTGAAAGTTACAATTCAACATGCTTAAAGCTGCAAAGAGATTTTTAATCAAGTTAAAACAGCTTTCCTATGACTTGAAAGTAGCAAATGCTTAAGCGTCATGCAGATGAGCTGGAAAGGGGATAATGTGCCTTTGCATGGCACACGGAAAGTACGCAGGGACCCTGGTTTTTAAAATCAGTGGCTAACAAGTACTTGCAATTTGTTGCCTATGGCTCAGTTACACCTTTGGCATCTAGAATGGTTACACTGCTTTATGTTTAGTAGCTTCCAACATTTCTGAATTATCAAAATTATAAAAAGCTATCAAAACTAGAGATTCTTATAGATGAAGTAAATCCTTGTAAGGGAAGACACTTAGCTACTAAGGCCTGAGCAGATTAAAACATTTTCATCCTTTAACTCTCTTCCTCTTGCTCAAACACTATTGGCCCTTAGATACACAAAGTTACAGAAAGTTTGGTGGAAAATATTGAGATACAGCCACCTTGTGATTTTGTACTAAGAATGAATAAATGATTTACTATAAATGTAGATTTTGCCTGTAATCCCAGCACTTTGGGAGGCTGAGGTGGATGGATCACCTGAGGTCAGGAATTTGAGACCAGCCTGACCAACCTGGTGAAACCCCGTCTCTACTAAAAATACAAAAATTAGCAGAGTGTGGTAGCATGCAACTGTAGTCCCAGTTACTCGGGAGGCTGAGACAGGAGAATTGCTTGAACCTGGGAGGTGAAAGTTGCCATGAGCCAAGATTGCGCCACTGCACTCCAGCCCAGGCAACAAAGCAAGACTCCGTCTCAAAAAAAAAAAAAAAAAAAATGTAGTTTTTGCGACAATGACATTAGAAATTAAGAAGATTTTTGCAGTTTTTGAAGGCCAATTTTGCACAAAAAAAAAAAAAAAAAAATGTAGTTTTTGCGACAATGACATTAGAAATTAAGAAGATTTTTGCAGTTTTTGAAGGCCAATTTTGCACCATAAACATAACCATATTATACTTTTTTTTCCTAATCAGGAATCTTGAAAATATAATACTTCCAAATACCACCTAGGGAAGATTAACGCATCCCTACTAATGAAGTTCCCAGTGGGCCGATTATATGGATAATGTCAACTGGGTGTATTCTAAACTCGAAGTAAATACTAATATTGTTTTTCCATCACTGATTTTCTAAAATGTAGTAACTTGGGCTTTAGCATCCATAAATCAGAATTTTAATCCATGTAGCAACCAAATACCAAAATATATATACCTAAACTTAGGCAAGTGCTTTTGTTACTTTTAATCAACTCACTAAATTTTTACAGAGGAAAAAAGAAGGGATGGAGCTAAAGTTTAAATTTTTAATAAAATAATTTTGTCATGCACTGGGCACCAAGACACAGAAATATTGCCATTAGGCTGTAAAACAAACATTTCCCATTTAAAAAATCTCATGCACAGCACACAACATCCCCATTTAGTGACATGCCATGCCAGAAATACAGTAAGTTATACAAAGAACAAACAATAAGCACAGATTTTTTACTGTGAACCACGTAACTTACCCATTCTCACCATAAATCTTTTGAAAGAGTCTAAGAAACCAGAAAACCAAAAATTAAAAAGTCATTTTTCCCAGTCATATTAGTTTCTAAACATTCAATGTCTTTCACTTAAGAATCTAATTGGAAACGGACAAATCTCAAAAGGTCACTTCTTCCATCACATTCTTGATCATGTCTCAAGTTCTCATCAATTTCTTATCTCAGGAAATTCAGATTAAGCAATATGAAGAATTTCCTCAATTTACTCTGAGCTAACAAATCCATAAGAAAAGGCTTCCCGTTGTCAGGAACTGTTAAGTTAGATTTGGATCCTCTAATTTTATTCAACCTAATCAGATTTGTCCGTCCCTAAGTTCCACAAACTGAACATTCATCAAAAAGGCAAGTTGCATAATACGAACTATCAAAATGGCCATGATTACATACACACAAAATTCAGCAGACAACAAATACCATTCATGCATTTTAACATCAATGTTTACACTGAACTTTATAAATAAAAATAAGTTACAAATGATAGTCCAAGAAACCTACGCCAAAAAAAAATTTAAGTTAAATGAAATTTGCAATGCCATATTTTCAGGGAAAATTTTACCACTCAAAAAAATCAGACACTGTAAAATGGGAGCGACACATAAAACCAAACTATCACCAGACTGTTACAGAAATGCCTGAACATGAGAAGTCCAGAAATATAAGTTGGAAAACATTTTTATGAAACTTCATATTGGTGAATAGTACCACAGTACTGCTTAAGTCAAAGGCAAGGTTTATGTATATGCAGTCTTAAACAGGCCTAAATAAGTTATTTAGAGATATACAAATATGGAATTGCACTTTTTCTACAAAATGAGCGTTTTTCAAAGCAAATTAAGTTTTACGGGATGCTTCAAAATGGCACGCGACATGCAGAGTGGAGCAACATGATGAGCTGCTTTCTTGCATGAGAAAAGTTACACAAGATCATCCATCACAAGCAAAATCCTCGCAGAAGCACACTCTGACCTCTCCACCATCAGCCTTTTCTTGTGCCTAAGTCTGCTGGCCTCCCGGATGGCCTCCCATCTCTGCAAGTCGGCCTCACTGCAGGGGCCAGGGGTGAAACTGACGGGAGGCACGGCAGTTCCCAGTTTCCAGGACTGAATCTTACGTGTCAGCATGTCATCTTTCTTCTGCCGATATGAAGGAACTAATATTCTACAGCTATTACTTTTTTCTTTGGATGGGCATGTCCTTTCAAGTACACAGAGAAATTTTGCTTGAATTTCTGGAGGAAGAGTCCAGGGTTCGGGGAAAGGGACTGGGTGGTATCTATCTGGAGCCCCGGACAGCGGTACTTCTTTCTTCTGTGCTGGAATTCGGCGAACAATCATATCATCTTTTTCCAAATCCGGAAGTACAAGTTCACCTTCTCTACACTGTAAAATTATATCTCGTTCTACAGAATCATCTTGCTCAGAGAACTTTCTAAAGTCTTCAAAAGCTCGGAGAACATATGGATTTGCATGGAAAGCCCCAGTCTTTCTGACAAAGAAATCATCATTCTCTAAGTCAGGATCCAGGGCCGCCATCTCCAGGTCATCTCTTCTATAGCCTGGTGCATAAGAGAGATTCTTCCTGCGGGTTATGAGCCTTGGGCCAGAAGTGGGATCAATTTTGGTATGTGTTTCAGAAGACAAGATGTCATCAGAGTATGTTTGGAGGGCCTGAAGCAGTAAAAACTGACTGATGCGCAGAGAGGAAAAAGGAAAGAGAATCTTATTAAGTCTGGGGAGAAAAGGTAATCAGCAGATCGACTAGCCAAAGGTAATTAGCAGACCAACTAGCCAGTTACTGAGGATAAATTATTTTAGAGGACCATCGCGGGACTCTTGCTAGGAATAGACTAGCATTTAATCCAACACCCATGACTTTCCTGGATACTCTCTAAAGAAATAAGAGCAGAGCATACTTCTCAGGAAAGCGGGGCACCATAGAGGCCATGGATGGGGCTGGAGTATAGACTAAGTACCCCTCCCAGGCACACAGAAAAGCCACTCCCTGGTACCCTTTTTTCTTTTCTTTTCTTTTTTTTTTTTTTTTTTTTTTTTCAGATAGAGTTTTGCTCTGTCCCCCAGGCTGAGTGCAGTTGCGCAATCTCAGCTCACTGCAACCTCTGCCTCCTGGGTTCATGCAATTCATTTCCCTCAGCCTTCCGAGTAGCTGGGATTACAGGTGCCCCCTACCATGCCCAGCTAATTTTTGTATTTTTAGTACAGACAAGGTTTCACCATTTTAGCCAAGCTGGTCTCAAACTCCCGACCTCAAGTGATCCACCTGCCCCGGTCTCCCAGAGTGCTGGGATTCCAGACATAAGCCACCGTGTTTGGCCCCTGGTACCCCTCCTTCCATTTGCCACCGTGGTCTAAGTGCCCCCTGAAGAAGAAGGAATAATCTTTGAAAGTTTCACAAGTTGGGCATCATGCACTTTATGCAATACGTATATGTAATCAGCCGGAAAAAGGGAAAATGAATTGCTCTGAAGTTTTATAAAAGAGCTCAAGGAATCTTTCCTTGGCATTTTCCCTAGACTTGCCCTTCCCAGTCTCTACCTGAAACTTATTTCCTTGTTCCACATCTGCACACACAGCAAAACTGTAAAATTAGGTAAACTTTCTAACAAGCCTTTTTGAACTGGCTTTTCAAAAGAACTGCCACATGTAAATATATCCTGTCTCACACATTATTGTGCTAAAGAAGAATGCTGAATCCTACAGACTTCCAAGCTGATGTAGTTGCACAGAAAGCAGCATGTTATACATTATGCTTTTGTACTAAGTCCACTAAATGAGTCAGGTTTCCTGATTCAATGCAATCAGGTCCCAGGTTAATGGAGCAGCAGAAGCGGGCAGAGGGGTGTCTGAGGCCAGACCCCCAGCAGGCAGGCTCATGCAGACAGGGGCACCTGGGCTCATCCGAAGCACTACTGCTTCTCCTGGCTGCATGGGAGTCCGGTGATTTTACAGCCCGTTTGGTAGCTAATTCCAGCAAGAGTGAAGGTCTTTGGCAGCTGCCGTCTAGCCTACGCTCTGCTTTTTGTGCTCTACTAAAAACGGTGGCGCTTCTGGCAGAACCTGAGTCCTCATCCTCAGAATCTGAATTCCTTCTACTGTGAGTGACATGGAGAAAAGAAGGGAGGAGGGAATGAGACAAAGAATTGGAGAAAAACAGAACTACTAAAAATAATGCCGTGCGACGACTATGTATGGAAAAGGGCTTTTTAAGATCTAGATCCTCAGGTTTAAATTTAAACAGAAATTCATTTCCATTATATAGGTTCTGTAGACACTAGAGAACTAATTAGACTTTCTCTCTCTCTCTTATTATTATAAAAAAACATGCACACAGAACCCCAGCTGGGGTACTGAATGTACAATGGTGTAATAGAAACATGCACAATGACAAACCTGAATCCCTGAAATTCTTTATACCATGGCTTATAAGTTTCCCTTTTTATTCTTCTCCAGTTCACATCTTCCGGGGTCCAACATTTGGGAAGAAACTGATCAAAAGCATTCCCTGGGTTTGGCATGACTGGAGTCAGCTTGCGCACATAAAGATCATCCTTTACAATGTTGGGTATGCTTCTTGTCTTTGCTTTTTCCTCTTCCAAATAACAAGAGGACTTTGAAGTTCCTTGTACAGTTGGCCAGTTCTCCACATTGGTGCCCCAAATCCTCCTCTGATTACTGTTCAAAACATCCAACTGGTTAAGACACTGTATGAGCATTTGTGACACAGCACACAAACGGCATGCTTTCTGGTTCACAAAGTTTACACCACTGTGAACAAAGCAAATTAGTTCCCATTCTCATCACCACCACAACTCCTAGGACAAATTTACTATAACAGCATCTCATTTTAATTCAAGGATAGCTAGATACACATGGGCCAAAGATACTTCATTAGAAGCTGTGTTAAAAGAAAGAGGCACATAACAAACAATTTGGGGTGTTACTTTCTGAATTAAAATCAGCAGCATGATAGACAGCCGGATCCAGGACAAGTATTTCTGACCTCGTCAGTCCATACAGCCCCATGGCGAACATATCAGCAGGAGAAAGTATTTGCGGACAAGAATTAGGAGAGGTGATTTTCGAGATGAAATTCTGGGGCCTCTTTTTCACTTGGAATCTACGGTTGGCTAAGTCATCCAAAACTATGTCAGGAAACCTTCGTTCATCCTCAGAGTCCGAACCACTTTCAAAACCGTACGCCTCCCCGTGAGAGGAAGCTGGATTTGCAAAACCACACTCTGTTCTGCTAATTTGCTGAGAAATTAAAGGATTCTTTTCATGTCCACTAAGATCAATCAAAAAAGGAAAAACATTACATGGCAGGGCTCATCATGAACAATATAAATTATCTGGTAAGCTGAAAAATACCAATAAACTGAAGTCATGCATCTAAAAAAAGACCTAGCAAATCACATGCTGACATTCTAAAACAGAAGAAATGGCTTCAAGATATGTATAACTAAAAATAGAGGGATGAAAAATATTCTCACAAGTCAAGCTTAATATATGATCTATGAAACACATTTGAGAGCCATTCTTTTTACCACATTTAACATCCCACCACATTCGAAACGCATACGAAACTCAATAATCACACCCATTTCAGTACCTCGAAAATGTTCCATCTGCTTCTGTATAAACCGGGCTTGCCCAGCTTCTTCTGTTATCCTCATGTTTGTCCGGCTTTTTCTTCCTCAGAGGTGCTGGTACATAGGATGGCTGTCTACTTTTGTTGGGTAAAAAACGATTGAAGGGTAACGCAGTCTTTGGCTCAACAGCCGAAATCCTTCGATACGACATATCATCTTTATTATAATCTTGCATCTTGAATGTAAATTCCAAATCTGTGTCACTTTCAAAACCTATAAAGGAGGCACAAGAATTTGCTTTACTCTCCAGATTATTCGCCTAACTGAAACCCACACAGTGCGCCTGCTTTGTCTTTCCCTTAGAAACCCAGTGCTGCCACTGCTAACTGCAGGGAATATTTTTAGAAATTTGTCACGAAGTTGTGATAAGATCCATTAGGAGGAACTTGCTTTGCATACTGGAGGCACATGCAGTACATTCTTTTGCTGTTGTAGGCTCTAAACAGAAAACGTCCTGTTTTACTAGTGAGCCCCTTTTCTTCTCGATCTCTGTCTCCATGATTTTCCATAAGATTTGTTGATGTGATACATAGAAATAAAATCTAGCAATGGAGGAGTCACAGATACTTAAAACAACATGCAAAAGTAATTCTAGGGGAACTCAGTAATCTAAAATAAGGCATGCAGCTATCCACAATATATACGTGAGGGCAGAGATCAGGAAGGATGTAGAAAGAGAAGCAAAACAACAACAAGAAGCTTGTAAAGGGTCTGGATAGATCCGATGAACCAGAATCAGATATTAAATATGAGGTTGGACTGGATGACTTCTAAAGTTCCAAAGAAATCTCAAGTCTTATGCCCAAATGAGAGCACAGAACTCAGTTTCTTCTGAGTGGCCATGGAAATTATACTGGGAACCTTGTATTATGATTCGTAATCATTTAAACACAAATTCAAAAGAACACCCTTTGATACACCTCAAGGTCAGATGGATACAAATAATAATCTGCTTTCTTAAAAGAAGAAGAAGAATAAATCTACTCTTTTAAAGACAAAGGAAGAAAAGGGGAGAGAACAACACTACAGATCCAAGCCAAGTTGTCTCTCTTTCCCACCCTTCTTCTCTTCCTGCCTCTTGTGCATTTGTAAAGGTTTGGAAGTGTTACTTGCTTCTCACCAGGGTTCTCTCCGGGCCTGGCTGTGCACAGCGCCTGTCAGCTACAAGCTCTCAGCAGGTAGAGCACCTGCAGGGTTAACCTGAGTTAAAGGCAGTCTCTTCCCCTCCCTCCTGCCTGGCAGGAAGCTACAGTAAATAACACTGAGAACAGTCTACAGGAAGTCGCTTAACATACAGCTGTGAGACAGGGACACGGTAAAAGGAGAGTAGAGTCTTGGTAAAAGAGAGAAAGTAAACGCAGCTATGACCATGAGGGGTAGTAGTCAATAAACTGGTGCTTTCTTTTTACCACCTTCTAAAAAATCAGACATTTATCTCTCATTTCCAATAAGTATATCAATTACTCTTGCCAAAATCTATACATGTGGAATTTTAAAGTCATAAAGAGACTATTTTACTTTTTAAGATAAAGTCTTTTTTTAGCCCAGTACAGTACCTGCAGATAATTTTTCCCCCCAAAATATCATTCTTGATATGAGTTTTCATGTAAAACTAGAGAATGTGACATTGCAATTCTGTTATCCTAAAAATATTACCCTGTATTATAGCGCTCATCAATTTAGGACTACAATCTAGAGGGTAGCAGTAGAATTTTAACACGCTGATCACAAAAGAGTTTCATCATCCAGGTGCCCCCATCCCAGGCTTTTTTTCCCTGCTTAGTTGTAATTTCCAAGACTTCACTTCCACACTCTTCAAAAAAGGTCTGCAGTCCCATTTCCAAGATCAGAAAGGAATGTGACAGTAGCCCTCTGCTTTTGGTTACATGGACAGGTGTCTATTCCAACTAGGATCTGAGAAGACGCCTTAGATTCCACACCACTGGGCGGGCCACTGCATCTGAACTGACTGAAGCCCGCATATTCCCACATGCCCTCTATCTTTTCCCCTTTTATTCCTTGGCTAGATATAAATTCCATCATTACATGGAGTAGGTTCTTCAGTCAGGGCAAAGAAATACAACGGGTTCAGAATTTCAGCCTCTGCTTTTACAGCTTTAACCACTCAGATGAATCACATACTCAGATTCATTTCCTTAAACGTATTGGAATCGTCATCTAGGCTATGAATCTGTCACACCTTGACAGCAAACAGCCAATACATGTGGCAGTAATTACAAAGGTTAATGCTTAAATAGCCTTTCACATTTTTTATTTTTAAAAACTGCTACTCTAAAAGATAAAGCATTCAGATTTTTTGTTACCATGCTTAATAAATTGTTGATTGATTTTTTGGAAAACAAATTCACAGTATGTTGTATTTATATAAGTTTCACCTCAGAAGCAAAACAAATAATAAATTCTAGTTAATGATGTGCATACTGAAGTATTTAGGACAAGTGTAATATATTCTGAAATGCCTCAAAAAATAAGATGATTAAATTATAATAGAGAAAGAAAGAGGGAAGGAGGGGGAAAGAGAAAGAGAAAGAGAGAAAGAGGAGAGAGAGATGGGTATAAGCCAAATCATGCATAGTAAAACATCATGGTGGAATTAGGTGACAAACACATGTGTGTTTACTGTACAATTATTTTAAGTTTGCTGATTTTTGACATTTTTGTCATAGATATGCTAGGAAAAATATCTAGAAATAGAAAAGTAATATTCCAAATACACAAGCAATGTAAAATCCCTAACAATCAAGCAGAAATTCACAGCCAGAACTCAATGTTTTCACGTTGATGTCAGTAGAAGCATATAAATATTTCAAAAAAACTTTACTTGTGATTTCAATCTAGTCAAATCTGAATAGCTGGAGATGTGCAGTCAGAAATTGCTGATGCTATACCCAGTAGCCACAGGAATAAGATGTGCATTGAAATAACTGAACTGACCATAAGCTTGGGATTTTGAAAGAAGGTTCCTTCCCACAACAAGATGTCTCTAACATGTTCCTTTCACACTTGCTCTGTCCTAGGTTAGCTCTGACCCTGAAAGGACCAAAAGAGGATTTCTACCAGCATGTTATGTGGTGGTATATTATACAGTCTACAAAGTTTAACATAATATTCTATCATGATAGATAGCAGTCATTTCTTCTCATCTATAGAAATAATTGTAAAAATATCTCTCTTGTTTTTGCTTAAGAGAATTTTTTTAATCTTTTGAAAAAAGCCAAGGATGAAAGTTACTCAGAAACTAGAAGAGAATTTTTTTTTTTTTTTTTTTTTTTGCAGAATCTTATATTCCTTTCTATGTTTAGATATATCAGTTTATAGAACTCGTGAACACAAATTAAGCCTGAATCTGGAGACAGAAGAGCCAGGATAGATTATCACTGATAAAACAGGTCACAATTAACTGTCACCTCCCAGTCCTTTCCAGAAATGAAACTTTTCAAAAATGAAACTATCACCATCGTGAAGGAGAAAAAAATAACAAAACCCCCAGTTATACTTGAGTCTCTATGAAAATCCACTTCTAAGTGAAATTTCTGCCTAGTTTTCACTCCATTTTTCTATTCTCTCTTGTTCCCAGTTCTCCCTTGATATGCAAACAAATAAACTGACAGCCAAAACACAACACACCTTCACGCCCCCCTCTCAACGTGATATCAGAGGAGCAGCTTGTCAATGACCTCGAGCCCAAAGAGTCCAAGCTTTCAAAGGAATCTTCTCTCTTATGGTGCCTTGGAGGAGCCAGAAATTCTCCACGTTCAGGACACCAGATGTCACCGTAGCCACTGTCCCTGCCACTTCTTTTCAGGAAGCTGGAGTCTTCAAGTGCCTAAAGAAACATTTTTTAAAGAATAGTAAGTTAAATAAACTTCCAAAAAATATCATCAATTGGTTATTACTTGCTTGTTTGCCTAATTTAAATTGGGTTTCATTTGACATGTAAGGCAATGAAGTTTCTGTCGGACATAGAAAAAAGCTGATGAAAAACAGAAAATAAATTTATAATTGTTTCCCCACAACTGACACAATAAGGAGGTATTCAATATTCAAAGTAACAATAAGGAGATATTCAATATTATTTAATAAACTAGTACATATGTTCTATTCAAAAATAAGGAAAATTACTAGTTTAATGAAAGTTCACAGAGTAACATCGAAATGCTAAACTCAGTTATTACAGTTCTCCAGCAATAAATGTGAAAAGAGTCAAAGAGAAAAACTAACCTTAACTTAGTCATCCAAAAGGAGATAAATCAACAAGATTATATTCACTCTATCTCCAGGAAATATCTGTGATGGCTTATATGACATAAAACCTTAACAACTGAAGTTATTTAACCCTCCCCCCAGAAAAATAAAAAGGAGCAAGTGGGCATAAATTTCACAGAATTCATGTACTCTCACTAATTACACAACCTGGTTCTAAGGTCCTGGCAGCTGGCTTATCCTCCTTGTTGAATTAAGAGAAGCACACTTGTTTGCTGACATATATAACTTATTTTCTATGGACCTAAATAAAATATTAATTTTTTATTGGCTCATATAAAGGATACACAGAAACATCACAAATGATGTTAACTGTAGGTTTGTAAATTATATAGAACTTAAGATAAGCACTTTTAACTAACATTCTTCGGTGAATGTTAGTGACAAAATATAACCTGGCTTTTTAAACATTAGGACGTGAGTAAAATTTACAAAGCCCATGGTGTAGTCCTGACTTATAGTAATCAATGAATATCTAGTAACTACAATGTTTTATACGGTGAAGATAATTTTGTCATAGTAAAAATCAGAAATGTTACTTTCAGATGAGCTTACTAATACAGAGACAATTTAAAGAACCTAGTAATTACTAACAATCAAACATATTATGTGAACCTTGATTAAGTCATGATTCAAAATAAAAAGTGCTATGAATAGTAGCTGGAGACAAGTATGAAAGTTTTAATGTCAACTGAACATTAGATAATGGGGAATATCTAAGTTTTCTTAAATATAATAAACATTGTAGCTATATAGAAGAATATTCATATTCTTAGGAGATGTATACTGAGTATTTGGGGAGAAATACACCTGCAGTTTATATTAAAATGGTTAAGTAAAAACATAGATGGATGGATAAACACATATGTAGATAAAGCCAGTATGGAAAATTGTAATAATTGAACCAGATGGTGCACATCTGGGAATTTGTTGTACTCTTCTTTCAATTTTTAATTATAAATATTTTCAACATATGAAAAAGCTGAAGAGTTTGCAGTGAATAATTAGCAGCTGTCTCAGGCATACTTTTGATCTAATACCGTCAATTCATGATTCAATTGTCTGACAACTGTTTGGAGCACTAAAAAGGTCTAGCAGATTTCAGGGGGATTTCATGTGCTTTAGATGCCGACACCCTGGCATTAGAGCTGACATCCTGTCATGAAAATGCTAGTGCCTACCTTACATCCTGCTACTTCCAAGCAGATGGGGAAGCCAGGCCTAGTGCTGGTGCCGCCAAAATGCTTCTCAAAATACAGAAAGACTTTTTTAAATGTAAGTGTTTAGATCTGTCAGGTTTCTTAGACACTTAGTTGTTAAGGCCTCAGAGTTCAACACTCAAGATAGATGTTTGACCTCATAAATGTTAAAGTTATTGATGACAGCCACTTCAGTTATAAAATAACCTTTGGCCCTGGTGCCTGGCTTTTAAGGAGGCACCCTGACAAGTCAACTAAAATGAGTCACCTCCAACTTCTAAGATGACTGACTGAGGTGCTACAACTTCCACCAGTGATTTTTTAACTGGTATTTTATATAAGTTTGTAAGCATTATCCGGTTAAATGGGAAATGCCTGATGAACACATTGGTTTTGATTTTAACAGAACTGATACAAAACATATGATATAGTCACATGCCTCTAACAGCTACCCCTACTTTATTATAATGGAATGGAACCACAACCATAGTTTTATAAACCATAAGGTCTTCATCTACCTCCTCTGGTTTTGAAACTGGTAACAGGAAACAGTCTTTGATAAAGCATTCCTGGCATAGACACTGTACCAGGATGATTCAACCTAAGTCAGACTGTCATTAAAAGGACCAAAGGCTATAAAGAGAACCCTAGTACAGAAGCCAAAGTCCCACATGGGTTGGTTTTTTTTTTGAGACACAGTTTTGCTCTTGTTGCCCAGGCTTGGCTCACTGAAACCTCTGCCTCCCAGGTTCAAGCGATTCTCCTGCCTCAGCCTCCCAAGTAGCTGGGATTACAGGCATGCACCACCACGCCCAGTTATTTTTGTATTTTTAGTAGAGATGGGGTTTATCCATGTTGGTCAGGCTGGTCTCGAACTCCCAACTTCCGGTGATCCGCCCGCCTCAGCCTCCCAAAGTGCTGGGATTACAGGCGTGAGCCACTGTGCCCAGTATCCCACATAGGTTTTAACCAAAAGTGTTATTAGCTGAAATAACTGTAAGGCAAGGATTTCCCCGTGCTCAAAGCCCCCTGAAATTCCTCCATTAGAGTCTCACTATTCTTCATTGCAGTGACCAATATGCTCACCTATCTTAGACAATTGTGCTTTATGAGGTTAGGTAATCTCTCATGAGTGTTTTCCCAACACTTAGTACAATCTGTATGCATGTTAATATCTCAGCTATTTCCTGAATTAACTTATTCAAGGAATTTGAATAGAGTGTTATTGATTCCTTACATTTTGGTGGTGAACAGGAATACCTGTATCTTCTAGGCTCTATAATCCCATCTCTTGCTATAATACATGTGGCTGGGCCCCTAAAGATCAGGGTAGGTGCAAGCCAAGGTTATCATGTTCATCCTGGCCTAAAATTTCTTTCAATCACAGCAACTAATATTTATTGCAACCTTACGATGTGCTACAGACTAATGCTAAATGCCTTACTGGTGTGGTATCATTTAACCATTAGAGAAACCCATGAAGCAATGAATACTAATTACATGATGAAATACCATTGTGACTACACAAAAGGGCTCTTCAGAGTCCTACAAATTTCCCTGAATAAATATCCCTACCCAGAGAAATTCGTTTTTCCCATGTGGATCTTATAAATGAAGATTTGGCAGAACTACGGTCAGTCCTGGCACTTGGCTCTCTGCAAATAGTCCTCAAGCATTCAAAAGGCTGTCACATTGATTCCAAAATATGAATGAGTAGAAATGTGTATAAAACAAAGGATTCTAACTTAAAAATCTTATATCAAGTTCCAGTTAACACCATGTCCTACTCTTTAGGAAACAGAGGCAACATGGTAGAATTGTGGGGATATGAAAGTGTGAGCATTAAAGATCATCATTTATGACAAGAACACACTACTACAAAGAAATTGAGTAAATTCCATGCGTGTTAACAGTCCAGGAAGCACCTCTCTACTACAGGTTGAGTTTACAATGAGTATAGAAATACTTAAGCTACATAAAGTGTGTAAGGAAGGAAACCAATGCATGTGTCATCAAATTACATAGAATTAAAAGGTAAGCAAGTCTCTCTACCTTGGAAATTGCTCTGGATTAGATCCAACTCACTCCTTGATGGCAGCATATAAAGCCAATAAATGAGTAACATTCCTCTTTACTCAGTCCAATCGAGAGTGGGACAAAGAGAGTCAGAGTTGCCATATTTGTTATAGAGGAGGAAAAGAAGAAGAGAGGAGGAAGGGAAAGTAGTGATACTGTATTACAGCAGTAATCTCACACAGATGTAGTTCACTTACCTTCGTCAGGGCTTGTCCTAAAAGATTCTCAAACGCTTTCAAATTAAGATGGGGACCATTATAGTATGGGTTGCTTTGTGCTTTTCTTCCCAGCCAGTACAATGTTATCAAAACCTTAAAAAAAAAAAAAAAAATCTATGAATAACAAGATCAGTAGATTAGTAACCAACTGCAAGCTCAAATGTAGGTGAGTACTGTAGATAAATGATAGCACATATTACTCTGTGGGTGAAAAGTAGACTTTCTTTTAAGTTTATGGGAAAGGGAAAAGGCATTAAAAATCTTAATTTTTCTTGCTAAATTTTCCTGTCTCTGAGCAAGTTCTTAGACCAAAAGTCCAGACTCCAAAAGGTAGTCATGCATATACTCTACTAGTATATATGAAGAAGGAAAAAAATAAGAGAAAACACAAATGAAACTTTTAAAGCAATCAATATTTTTTCATTGAACTTACAGAATGATCACCTAAACATCAATAATTCTCAGCTTCCTTAATAAGGATGTTAAACTTTTTAATAAAACTGCAACATTTTTAGATATTCTTGCAATTCCCATAAAATATTGTAAAACGTATGAGTCTACATTGATCAATTACCCAGAGCCCTTAAACATTCAGTACTTTTCCTTAGAGTCTAAATTGGTAGTTTATTTACTCCCATAAAAATCTTAAAATATGTTTACTTGCCTTTAGCATATTACTAACACATAACAAACAGCTTCCTAAATGTAACCTATCCTCTTATACCACTCTAACCAAATGTTTTTAAATTTTATTTTATTTTAAGTTCTGGGATACATGTGCAGGATGTGCAGGTTTGTTACGTAGGTAAATGTGTGCCATTGTGGTTTGCTGCCCCTATCAACCCATCACCTGGCTATTAATATAAATGCATTAGCTATTTATCCTGAGGCTCTCCTTCCCCCCATCACCCGACAGGCCCTAATGTGTGTTGTTCCCCTCTCTGTGTCCATGAGTTCTCATTGTTCAGCTCTGGAATACTATGCAGCCATTAAAGGAAACAAGATCATGTCCTTTGAAGGGACATGGTCAGAGCTGGAAGCCATTATCCTCAGCAAACTCATGGAGGAACAGAAAACCAAATACCACATGTTCTCCCTTATAAGTGGGAGCTGAACAATCTAACCATATATTGTAATACATATATTTAAACATATCTACTGTTTGTAACTGATTGGTTTGTAACCAAAAATTTAATTAGAAAAGAGATGTAGAGTATACTTTTAGATTCACTGCCCTCTTACAGAACATGGAAGTGAAAACCACTTATAATGCTACATTAAGGTAAATGTATCTTACATTTTTCACTCTCCTATCAGTCTCTTCTTGCCTGTAAAGAAAGAAAATATCTATTAGGTAATATCCGTGAACCTTAAATTATTAATTATAGCTAGAAAAAAACTCATTTTTATTCTAAAGTTCTATAAATATTAATATCACATGGAAGTTCAGATCTCTTAGAGCTCATATTATCTCCATCAGAAGAATTTTTCCATATTCATTGATTCAACAAAAGTATAATGCATTGATTTTCTGTATTCATTGATATTCATTAATATAATTGTCAGTTTTCTATAAAAAGCAGTGCTATTTTTTCATTTTTAGTCTAATTTTTAAATATGTTATATGCATTTTTTGTATTTCCTTCTTAAACAAGGTTTAAACCCAATGAGGGGGGATCAGTGTGTTCATGAAAGAAAAACTGGGAAATGGGGGGAAAAAACCTTAAAAACACAAAGAGGCCGGGTGTGGTGGTTCACACCTGTAATCCCAGCACTTTGGGAGGCCGAGGTGGGTGGATCATGAGGTCAGGAGATTGAGACCATCCTGGCACCCTATCTCTACTAAAAATAAAAAAAATTAGCTGGGCGTGGTGGCAGACGCCTGTAGTCCCAGCTACTCGGGAGGCTGAGGCAGGAGAATGGTGTGAACCCAGGAGGCAGAGCTTGCAGTGAGCCGAGATTGAGCCACTGCACTCCAGCCTGGGCGACAGAGCAAGACTCCATATCAAAACAACAACAACAACAAACAAACAAACAAAAAACATACACAAAGAAAAATAAAAGCGACTTTGCACTGAGGTTTTTTGTTTTTTGTTTTTTGCCATCATCCATAAGGTTTTTCATCCAAGTTCCCCAGAGCAAACTGCTCAGAGACTTTGACCCTGCAAATGTTGAAAAGTGGCAGTTTAAAAAACAGCCATGAACCTCTCCCTGAAGAAACTTCACTGTATTATAAGAATCATGGGTTTTTTGCTCACATATGAAAGGGCATGATACTTATGGGAGAAGTTAAAAAGAGGCAGATGTCACCACAGTGTTGAAGAAGCAACAAAATGCTTCTTCACAAAGGGATGGGTCATCCTAAAAAGAAAGCACTTCCCCTCATTAGAGACACTTAAGCAGGATCGGTGTGAATTCAGAGACTTGTAGAAGCCTGAGTGAGAAAGCTTCTAAGTGGCCTGTCCAGTCTAACAGTACAGTAGTATATTTCAAGATAAAATATACACACATCTATATATGCATGTAGAAGACATCAACATAAAACACATATATATTCATATATACAAAGAAAAAATAAAAGGAGAATGTGAGTACACAGAGACAAATTTTTAACTTAACTTTCAAAGAATCAACAAGGCAACTAAGACCATTCCTTTTCAGAAAACAAACATGTACTGAAATGAACCTAAGAATAGCATGCACCTCTCACCCACCTCCCAAAACAACATCTCAACAATGAAATTCATGAACTCTCACACTACTGATGGAAATGTAAATTGGTACAACTACTTAAACTCTTAAGTCACTTGGTAATATGTATTCAAGCTAAATACGTTGATATTATACAACCTAATAATTCCATTCCTAGGCATACATCCAACATAAACGCTTACATATGTTAACAAAAAGTTATATACAAGAATGTTTATCACAGTACTATTCATCACAACAAAAACTAGAAGCAGGGTCGATGTCTTTAACATAATAGATAAATTATGGCATATCCACATAATGAAATATCATATGGCAATGAAAATAACCTTCAACTACATTCATCCACAAGTTCAACCTCTCAAATAATGGAAAGAAAAAGAAGCCAAATGCAAAAGAGTTCAGGTTGTATTATTCTATTCATATAAAGTACAAAGACAGGCTGAACAAAAAAATGCTGTTAGAAGTCAGGGCAGTGGTAACCCTTGTGGGAAGAGAATGACAGAAGAGATTAGAAGGGGATGGGGCACTAGGATGCCAACTGTTTATGCTTCGATCTGGAAGCTGGCTACCTAGGTGTGCTCAGTTTCCAAAAAGTATTTACATTGTACATTTATAATATGTATACTTTTCTGTATATTATCCTTCAAAAAAGTAAACAAGTAGAATAAATTCCACAGCCCATGTGCTCAAACCATAGCTTATCTCTTGAGTAAAAAGAAAATTATCTTATAAAAATCCACAGCAATGGCTGGGTGCAGTGGCTCATGCCTGTAATCCCAGCACTTTGGGAGGCTGAGGCAGGCACATCCCCTGAGGTCAGGAGTTCGAGACCAGCCTGGCCAACACGGGGAAACCCTGCCTCTACTAAAAGGACAAAAATTAGCCAGGCATGGTGGTCGGTGCCTGTAATCCCAGCTACTCAGGAGGCTGAGGCAGGAAAACAGCTTGAACCCAGCAGGCAGAGGTTGCAGTGAGCTGAGATTGCGCCACTGCATTCCAGCCTGGGCGACAAGAGCAAGACTCCATCTCAAACAAACAAGCAAACAACCCACCCAGCACTTTAACTTAGAAGTAGTAAGTGGGGAAAGTCACTGGAAACTGACAACAAAAAATAGCAGAGTTGCAAATATATAGCCCCTTTTTTAGACTAATAGACAATATACACATGTCAAACATTAAATTAGCCAAAGCACAAAAGAACCATCAATGCCCAAGACAAAGAATGCACTGGGCTGAACATCCTCCCACTTTGATCATAAGCACACTCAAGGCAGAAGGAAAAACAGAGCTCTCTTGAACCCCTGACCTCATTTCCACAGTCCTCATAAAGGTTTCTAATCCAACACACTCATTTGCTTTTCACTTTTTATCATGATAAAACAATCATTGGAAATACAAGTGATGTCCTATTCTGTGATAAACACAATAAGCAGTGACCTTTCCATTATTACCTTTTACTCACTTTACATTCCCTTCTAAATATGAGCATTTATAACATGCTCTTGGACATGATACATGGACCAGCCAAATTAGTGTCCTATCTCTGAAATGCAATGCCAGGAATTCAAGTAGTCAATGATTTGCTAGAGTAAACAGAGTTTACTCTGTCACATACAAATGTAACCCACTGCATGGAAGTCGGTAACCAAGCAGCTCCTTTGCCTGTCATGTGGCCACAGGGCATAACCCAAAGTCCTTTAAAATAGAACTACTGCAACGGTGAAGGGGAAGTTCACAGTAACGCGGGTAACACACACACTCCATGAACCAGCCAACTTACTGCACAACACCTCAGAATGAAATATAAGACAGCCTTAGCTCCAAAGTTGGATAATTCTTCTATAACAAATATGTCCAAAGTTGACATGGTCTGATACCATCTTCAAGTGCATGGGCTTTAGAGTCAGATCTGGGTCTCACCGTGTTCATTCAGCAATTTACTTGACTCTCAAAGCTTTGGTTTCCTTCTGGACAAAGCAGGGATAATGTGCTCTGTTCCAGTAGATTAGAAGGATATTTCCTTCTAATGGTGAAGTGTTCATCAAGAAACAAGCCAGGCACAGTGGCTCATTTCTGTAATCCCAACACTTTGAAACACCTAGATGGGAGGATCACTTGAGTCCAGGAGCTTAAAATTAACAGCCTGGAAAACATAGCAAGACCCTGTCTCTTAAACAATGTAAAAATTAGCTAGGCACAGTAGCACATGCCTATAGTTCCAGCTACTTGGGAGGCTGAGGACAGAAGGATCTCTTGAACCCAGGAATTCAAGGCTGCAGTGACCTATGACCGCACTACTGCACTCCAGCCTGGGCGACAAAGTGAGACCCTGTCTCAAAAAAAGGAAGAAAAGAGAGAGGGGGCAGAGGGGGAGGGGAGAGACAGAAGAACCCATACCTGCATTGAAACCCAAATCTACAATAAAAATGGGTACAGATGAAATATTAATAGTTTCAAAAAATACCTATCTTGGGTGTGTTGATAGCCCTTACTCTACACTATGATCAAAGAACAACAATTATTACAAGGCTGGAAGCTATGTGACGGCAAGGCCCATCACTAGGCCCCAATATTTAGAATTGCAACTAGCCCACCTGACATACCCAATCTCTCATCCGTGCTTTATTTTTGTATTTATAACCGTCTACTCTATGCATTTTTTTCTCTCCTCTACCTGAATCCAAAAACTTTTGTGATTTTGTTCACTGCCATATTCCAACTGCCTTAAGACAGGGTCTACCACTTGGCAAGCACACAAAAATATTTGATTAAAAATGCCTTGCACAGTACATGGCACACAGATGCTCTCAAACTCTGGTTAAATAGTTTATTTAACCTATGGAAATGTAAATTAGCAAGAAAAAGCCTGAAATGATAAAAGCTCAGGGGACAATAAATACTCATACGATGTCAGAGAACAATTAAATTGCATTAACCTACTTAAAATATGTCCAATTTTGACTCAAATTGTATTGATACTCATAATTATGCTTCTTACTAAGCTGTTATCCTTAAATTGCAATAAAATGGAATTCTTTAGAATCAAATCAATAATCCCTCCAAAAAACAGATACAGAAACAAAGATCAAAGTGCTTTGTACAAACTTCAAAGGACTGAATACAAAGCTTCCATGCTGGTCTATGTGATGAAAAAGCTTCCTAACAGAGCTCTGAAAGACAGAGCCCAAAGAACCCATACCTGCACTGAAACCCAAATCTGCATTAAAAATGGGTAGATATGCGGGAGGCGGAGCTGGCAGTGAGCTGAGATCACGCCACTGCACTCGAGCCTGGGCAATTCCATCTCGAGAAAAAAATAAATAAATAAGGGTAGATATGAAATATTAATAGTTGCAAAAAAAATACCTATCTTGGGTATGTTCACAGCCCTTACTCTATACTTGGATCATACATTAACTTTTACATGTTTAATATTTAAGAAATAGCAAATATAGCATAGATATAATATTCCACTCTATTAATGGAATAGCTCTGATGATTCCTTTGCTTCCTGGCAAAGGGCCAGAAACTATAAGCCCACCATGGACATCTGAGCTTTCTGCCAGAGAGTAGGAACAAGGGAGCCCCAAGCTCTCAGGTGAACTCATCCAGC